GGCATGCACATGCTGCGAAGTTCTGGTAAAATTACCAGGAAGTTCCAATAGTGTAAAGCAACCACTCCTGCTTTCACACGATTGTTAATCTCTTATAACGTTTTGCTGCTGGTGCCTTTAGGCACTAATCAGTGACGTCAGTCATTCTCTAAACGGTAATAACGGCAGTATGCTGACGTCTTGGAAAAGTCCTGAAAGGGACGATTTTGTATGGAGCGGCTGAGAAATGTCCCAGAAATGTCGCAGAACTCGTCTGGTGGAAATGGATGTGTTGAGCACGGAGATGAAAGGTTGATGATTTGGACTCAACTGCAGCTACAGAACCCACGCACCTGAATGTCGCTGAGTCATCAATGAACTCCTCGGTTCACCAATTAAACTTTATTCAAACCTAAATTTTAGCAGGTTAGTCTTTTTCCAGGGGATGCAAAAGCCGATTTTAGTCTTGATTTACTGCTGAAAATCACTTTTGCGAGAAGTTCTCACAATCCTCCGTATCTTTTCTTATCTGACATCATATTTACTCAAAACCTAGCAAGAGACTGATAACCCTCCGTGTAGGTAGCAGGTGTACCTTTTTTATTATTTCCCAGCAGATATCTGTCATTACAGCGTACAAAAGTCACCGCTGACACCTTCACACCAACACACGCCTAACTGTGTGTTGGTGTAAACTCTAGGGAATGTGGCAGGGTTCAGAGTTCATAGAACACCAGCAGCAACAGAGCAGGTCTGCCGGAGACGACGTGTAGCGCTAGACACACACACACGCACACACACACACACACACACACACGCACACACACACACACACACACACACACACACACACGCCACAGCAGTGCTGTCAGTGACTCAGTGTGTGAATCACACTCCGGCTATGCTGCCTCTCGACTTTATAAGAGCCGCCAGCACAACACTGTATTTAATATTCCAAACAACTGTACTTTGTCGCACGCATTCACATATTTTCACATTTGTGGCTGTCACATTTTCCCCCTCAACATCCCCCACAAACGCTGACCAAATAGCTCCATTTCTTCCCTGCTTTCTCATTCAAGCATGCAGAAACTCCTGCAGACGGAGCTATGCGCACCCATTATCCGGCAAGATTGCAGATGAGTCAGATGAAGAGAAGAGGGAATCCTTTTCCTTTTTTATTTGTGCAAAGACTATAGGAGAAGCAGGAGCGGGTGTCTGCACCGCAACTCGGCTGTGTGAATCAGTCCCACATGATCTCACTGGAGAATGTGCAAAGGTTTAAGATGAGATTATGAAAATATAGTTGAGCTAGAAGGGAAGTCAGCTGAGAAGGAACAGAAAACTAGAAGATGAAAACATGCAGTTCGAAAGGCCTGAACTGTTTGTTGTAGTTTTAGGTGGAAATGTTTGGTTTTTTCATTATTTCCTTGCAAACGTGAAGCTGATTTAGTCATAATGAGAAGTTGTTGGTTAGATTTCTGTAGCAGCCTGCTCGAGGCAAGGCACACGCTCCACAGTGAACCACAGGGTGAAAAGAACACAATGTCTCCTTCCCAAACAGCCCAGAGAGGAGAGGAAAAGCACTTTGAAACATCGCCCTCTGGTGGTGTTTCACAGAAGTTCTGCAGCTTGCTTTTAAACTCCAAAATTTTGAAATCCAATAAAGCATGCAAACTTATTTAATTGAATGCTTTTTGCTAAATTGTATGTGCACAAATATACATTTTAATAAGGAAGTTTGTGCATATAGGAAGGCTGCTGGCAAAGTGAGATCAGTGACAACGAGCTGGGGGGAAAGACGACTCATGACAGCAGCTGGATGCAGCTGCAGAGCGGTGGGCATGCTGCAGGTGTTTTAGATTTGATGGGAGTGGCATGACACTGAGGGGCTGTGAGTCAATCACAACCTGAAGCCACGGCCGACCTCTCTCAGCTGTCCACGTTTTTGCATTTTGTCGTTTTCGTGAGTTTGTTTTATGATGAGTCATCTCTTTAATTTTCTTTTTTCTCTTTTTGACGCCTTTGAATCTTTCCTTACCGGTAAAGCGACTTTTTGTTCCCCTGTGTTCATTTTCTCACATGTTGTTCCGTTGCTGTGACAGGTGAGGGGAGGGGTACGGCGATTGGAAAAGCTCTCTGACTCACACACACACACACACACACACATTACAGGTGGTGACTCACTGCAACACGGGCCTTTTCAGTACACCAAAGATAAACGGCTGCGTTGACTGTTTGCATACACATTAACCTTTACATGCATTAGGGTGCTGTTTGTGCAGAGGTTTCATGGCGAACTACCTACACACCTTTCAGTCAAAGCCCCCCTCCCCCCTGCAAGATAATAAATGCTGGTGAGGATACTGCATCCATGCACAGATGTGTGCAGATGGAGACCAGAGGCGGAGAGGAATTCATTGTGACACGGGCAGATGAGGAACATAGAATGTGTTGAGTGACTCACGCAAGACAGACAGGAGCCTTCAGCAGACGCAGCAGCCTCGCAAGTGACAGACAACACTCCATAACTAACACACAAGCACAGGAAGAGCTTCACTACATGCAAACATACACTTACTGGCCACTTTATAGTAAATCTGACAATCACGTGGCAGCAACTCGTTGCATTTAGAGATCTAGTCGACTTGCAAAGTGAGGAAGAATGAATGGCGACAGTGAATGCAGCATGGTTGTTACCAAATGTATTTAAAGGCTTGGAACACTGAAAAAACATTGTTTTAATATATTTTTATTATAATCTATCGCTCTGAGTATTTCATGCAGGCTGGACAGGAAAATAGTCTCCTACAACTATCTCCTGCATTACTTCTGATAGAAAGCAGACGGTGAAACTCTAGGATTAGAAAATCCTGACAGATCTAAGTCTCAACGTCACTTAACATTCATGGACTCACCCTTCCTCACACACGACGGGGAAGGCTGTTGTTGGTTTAGCGTCCAGGAAACAGCAGAGAACGTCTTGGCTAGTAGAAGCTAACAGTTAGCATTAGCAACTCCACCACACGGCAGAACTCCTTCAGGCTTGTGTCGTTTGTGGAGATAAAACATCACTGCTTCCAGTCAGGGGTAGAGTCACGTTCCTGTTATCCAATCAGGGGCAAGATGTTCAAATATCAGGAAATAAGTCTCCAAATCCTGCGTCTGAAGCTCAGCTGTGATGTGGCTCACTTCGAGTTTCTGGAAATGGTGCACAGGTGTTATTTGCACCTCGAGTTTGACTTACAAGGTATTCATTTCTTCTAGAGAACACTGCAAAAACCAGTGTTCCACTCATTTAAAAGCATTTTAATTTTTGTGCGTTAGTAGCTCCAACACATAATTCCTATTTGCATGTATTCATTATTCTAAGTGCAATTGGTTTGCATGCTTTTTCAACTAATGTGAACTAGTCCGATTTTACAGTGCAGAGGAGAACACGCAGAACGGTTCTAGCACTTTACTTTGGACAACAGTAGCTGGTCCCGCCAAGGTCTAAGAACAGGAAAGCAGAACCGGACCAGAAGAGACAGGAAAAACTGTTCCTGGTCGGATGAGTCTGGATTTCAGCTTCAACATTCTGACGGTCGGGTCAGAATTTGGTGTCCTCTAAGGAGGTTGAGTGGGTTTTCCAGGAGGCTGCAGGTTCGATTCCGGCTCTGGACAAAGAATTCTGCTGTTGTGTCCTTGGGCAAGGCACTTAACCCACCTTGTCTACTACTGGTGGTCGGAGGGATGGGTGGCGCCTGTGCTCGGCAGCCTCACCTCTGTCAGTGCACCCCAGGGCGGCTGTAACTACATCATAGCTCATCACCACCAGAGTGTGAATGGATGAATGATACACTGTAGTGTAAAGTGCTTTGGAGTCCTCTGATTCTGAGAGGCGCTATATGAGAGCGGTCATTTATCATTATCATGAAAGCATGGATCCATCCCACCTTGTGTCAATGCTTCAGGCTGATGCTGGTGGTGGGGGGTGTTCTTATCCCACTTTGGACCCCTCAGTACCACCTGAGCCTAGTTAAACGCCACAGCCTACCTGAGTATTGTTGTTGACCATATCCCTCCCTTTATGGCCACATGGGCCCATCTTCTGATGGCTACTTCCAGCAGGATCATGCATCAGGTCTCAAAGCTCAGATTACCCCTAAACGGTTTCTAGATCATGACCAGGAGTTCATTGGACTCCAACGACCTCCACACAGTGGCGGCGCCGGGGGGGGGGGGGGGGGGGGGGGGCTAGGGGGCACTATAGCTACCCCTGGATTAGTCATTGCACCCCCAAGTAAATATTAGATTTATTTTTTTTTTACAATTTAATTTTAATTTAACGTGTGGATGTGATAATATTTAACATACAAAACAAAAATAATCAGTAATTTATCGTATAGATGTAAAAACTTAAACCAAAACAGGAAATTGATGTTAACCTTTGACCTCATTTTCCACCTGTGAACGAGTGAAAGGTAGAGCTAGCGGTAAAATGGATCGGTTTTTGTTGCCCACATTTCCACGGGTTCAGTCAGAAACGAATGAATGTTTGGAAGTGATCTCAGACCCACAAAAACCTACGGATCTGGATGAAGAGAGTCAACCCTCGACCGCCGCAGCAGTCCAGGGTTTTGCCGCTGGAAATGCTAACACTAACATTAGCTAACCTTGCAACACTATAGAAGGTTTTCTGTGTGGCTGTATGTGTTTATGATTTCATGGAAAAGTCAGCGATTGTTCATATGTTTATGATGTATATTAATGATTGTTTCAGGTGTTGTTGAGGTGTTGTGCACGCATGTGTATCTGCTAGTGTTGAAGGTGTTTTAGAGAACAATAGGTACGCATGACCACTTCCTTCATAGCACCTGCAGAAAAACGTTTCTGGAGCCGCCACTGTCACCACATTCAAGGATCTCAGTTTGATTTTAAAGGTGGAGGGATCAACAATCAAAATGTTACCTATTTTGAGAATGTTTACGTAAATGAAGCTCTACCTCATTTCAGTATAAATTAAGTAGAAACCACAACCGGATCAAAAATGCTTTATGAGAGTGTCGTTATGTCCATGACCAGATCTCTGTCCAGTCCAGAACACTTGGGATACGGTGGAACAGGAGGTTCATGTCAGTATGGACCAGAATCTCCGATGAAGGTTTCCAACACTTTGTTGGCTCTTTTATGGCAAAATGAGGTCCAGCCCAGTAGAAGTACCTAATAAAGTGACTGGAGATTTCCCGGCTTCATCATTTTTGTCTGTCTGACAGAGATGAGTCACTTTTAACGTGGCGCCCGTCACTCGGACGGATTCAAACTCCTTAAATAACAATCAGGTTCTGCTGGTTGTTTTTTTTATTAGAATACAAATGGAGTGAGAGGTTTTGGCAATGACTCAGCTTCTACTTTTAAGAGTTTTTTGTAAAAAAAACAACTTTTGCAATCTTTTTTTTTAGTCTACTTTAATGTTCGTCGTCCGTGTCCTCCCCCTCGCTGTCGTCGTCCTCCTCCTCTTCGTCTTCATCCTCTTCGTCGTCCTCGTCCCCCTCCTCTCCCCTCGTCTGGCGACTGCAAGCTCTTTGTTGCTGTGACAACAAATTAACTGTCACCACGCAACTAAAAACACTTTGCAGGCAGTCATTAGCCACGCTTTGTGCTTCGGAGGAATCTGGAACATTTGTGTCTCACACACCCTGAGACCACATTCCTCCACATTTGCTTTACTTTCACATTTCACTTCTACTTTTCACCCTCTTATCTAATTCACATTTCTAGCAGCCTGCGTGCAGCTTTTTAAATCACTGCTCAACGATAACGTTAAATCTAACTATGGAAGTAGAAATCAGCCTCTGTGCCACAATCTCAATCCCATCTTAATATCTAAACCCTGGTCCTGATTCAGGGCTGTTATATGTGGGAGCAGTGGCGCCCCCAAGGGGTGGCCAAGGCCCCCTCTGGAGAGTTGTTGGCCACCCCACTGCCCCCCTCCAGAAGACCTCCCCCACTTTAATAAATTAAATTCCATGTTCACTTCCAGGCATGAATGTGAAACCCCATGAATAAATTAATAAATCATGATAAAGTACATTTTTGTTGTTTATCATTTTCAAAAAGACATAAATATTAGTTGTAGATGTTTTACTGAGAGAGTAACTGGTGAATTTAACTGTTCGAAATGTTAAAACAATAAATGTTGGCACTTAGCTGTTAGCTGCTCATTGTATTACTCGTCAAAAAATATGTATCCAACCCCTTTACCTCGAATCGGAGAAACTACAACGGTCAGCATGCAGGGGTGGGCCCTGTGTGGAATATATATGAGGAGAAGGTATGGGACCCAACTGGTTTTGTCCACGGCTTCCCTGAGGGACCCACACGGTTTGCCCACATCATTTTTACACGTTTTCAGGGGAGTTGACTTGGACTCATACATGGGCCGGTTGAGATTTTTATGGGCAAACCCCTGTGGGGCCACCCTAGAAATGGTGGACAAAACCAGTTGGGACCCATACTGTTTGCCCATATATATTCCATACGGGCCCACTTATGAAAACTGGCTGTTTTAGTTTATCAAATGGGAGGTAAATGTGTTGGATGCTAAAATTCTCACTAGTCAAGCGCAAGAGAGCTGTGTGGGAGGGAAGGCGTGATGCTGCGGACATGCTGTGACACGTGGAAACACAAACGAGGGACGGGAGAGATGCAGAGCATTTCCCCTGAGACCGACTGATAAGACTTTTATCAAACTCTGCTCTGTGCTGGTATGAGGAAGGTTACGGTTAAAGAAGAAGAAAAAAAAAACACGTGATTGGAATTTTATTTTTTTCTGCGTGATCATTTCAATAAATCTTACGCAACAGTTAATGTCTACGACGACAATAATAATGAAAAGATGTGAAGCAATTCCATTAGAGAAACTAAATCAAACTTTTAGGGAATTTCTGGTTTTGAGTTATTACAGGGTATCTGCAGGTTTAAGGGAGCCAAATTTAAGACTTTTTAAGACCTTTTTTAAGGCCACTTTGACCAAATTTAAGCTATTTTTAAAATTAAATTTAAGCTATAATTTCCAGCTATTGCCTGGAACCGGTGCTAACCACGTCGTGAGCGTGGGATTAACCATCCAACCTTCCATTAAACTTGCACTTCCCCATGGCGCAAGCTCCCACTAGCTTAACCAGCTAATGTGCTCATCTAAAAATAGCCCCCTTTCACAACCAGCTGAATGTGTACGGTTCCGCTTACGCCAACATCGTACACAAAAAATGCTGAACACCAACTAGAAATTCACGAAAATTTTTATAGAAATAAAATAATCTTGTTTATTGGGTCTTTGGTAATTTAAGACCTTTGGAAACTGGATTTAAGGATTATTTGTCATTTTTAAGGATTTTCAAGGCCTTAAATTTGGAAAAGCAAATTTAAGACTTTTTAAGGACCCGCGGATACCCTGTATTATATTTAGGGAATCTTACCTGGAAGGTTCCTGATGCACTCAAGAGGGACCCGGTCCAATCAAGGGAGGTTTTGGAATTAGCTCGCTTTATGTCTGAATGTGAGTGGTAGTCAGGTGGGTGCAGGGAACTCCTGAACACCTGCCAAAGACAATCGGGGGCGCTACGCTTAAACCACAGATGAAAAACAAAAATATAACACACTTCAGCTTGTAAAAAATGAGCATCTAGACTAGAGATGTGCTTACATAAGAAAAGCAAACCAGAGGTCATGACAATGAGCTGTTTAAACGAGATCGTTGGTTTGTACTGAGCAGGAAAAACTCAATCAGGATTATCTTCATGCCTGTCATTGTGCTGGCTTCAGATGATTCAATCTCCCATGTTCTGTACAATGAGTCACTGAAAACACAACCCTGTCTCAGTAAGGAGTTTTGTTTCTGTTTGAATGAAAGGGAGATGATTCAGTGCACAAACACAGACGAGATGGTAACGGGTGGCGGAAAATAGCACGAGGGCATCTACAAGAGGAACCTCGCTGGTTGAACACGACTTTGATCCTTTTGTTGTCGTCGCCGCGTGCTTTCTCTACCAAAAAAGTAGATCCGAGCTCTGAAAAGCTGGTAAACAGAGCGAAGCGCAACTGAAGCGATTGTTCTAGATTCTCTACACGCAACTTTAAAGTTGGGTTAACGGGTGTGGACCGTGACACCGAGGGCAAATTAAACAAAACCTCCAGGTTGATCAAATAAAGAACAGAGTGTGTACACGAAACCCGGCTAGCTTTAAACAGGCTCGCAAATAATACAGAACAGCTGTTCACACCTGGTGTTTACGTGTGTCTGGGGTAATCCGATTACTAAATACAGATGAGATCAACTGGCCAAATTATTTCTGAGGACAAAATACCTGTCTTAGAAAAAGATAAGGATATCTGAGTTTTGTGAATCAGCAATTAAAGTAACACTGAAGAGGTTTTTTTTTTTTTTTTACTTTAATCCAGAGCTTTAGCATTGGTCTCAGTGATTGTATTTGACACCACTCTGCTGCCCTCTGCTGGCCAGATACTGCACCTAACAGTTTTGTGGAGTGGGCAGGTGTTCTAGGGCAGTGGTTCCCAACCTTTTTCCCAAGGGACCCCGCTTTTTGCCAGTAAAATTTTTGATGACCCCCTCCCATTTTCTCTTCCAGTATAAACATTATTAAGAAATTATAAAATTGTTCAAGCACATTTTAATATGCTTTGATTCAATAGATAACAGTAATAGTAGGCTCCAGTACAGAACAAAGTCATGAACAAAACCAAACAGCATAATGTGCTTGACAGTTTGTATTACTTTTCTGAACACATTGTTTCTTGTAAACACTGATAAATCAATCATTCCTTTCAATAAACGTTTGACACATAAAAAATACACTGAGCAAAATGTGCTTAAATGTGTATATTACTGTTTGTACTAGATTATTTACTGTAAACACTGTGATTAATCAACCAGTCCTATCTTTAATGAACTTTTGACACTTGAAAATAAAACAGTGAGCTGAGCAATATGTTCTTAAAAGTGTGTTACTTTTTCTGTACTAATTATTTCCTGTCTTAATATCAGTAAACTTTTCACTCATGGAAAAAAAAGTGAGCAAAATGTAGGCTATAAACAAGTAATAAATGAAGTTTTAACCCCTTAAAGTGGAGAGGTCCTGGCGACCCACTGAGAGGCTTTGGCGCCCCCTTGTGGGGGTCGGGACCCCCAGGTTAGGAACCACTGTTCTAGGGGGTGCACTACCACATGCATTAGGGCTGTTAGCTATTTTCTGTGCAGTTAGCTGATCGTCAATAAAATCACAAGAAGTTTGCTTTTTTGTTGGCATCATGGCAGAGCCTGGATTTAAAAGTAAGAGAGTAATGCTAACAGCTGTAGTGCATGTATAAGCGCACCCCCTAGAACACCTACCCCTTCCACAAAACTGTTGAAGGGAGACTAGGCAGTTTTGGCTTGCTTTTAGCACCCCCTAGTGTCAATTTGTAGAACCGAAAACATATCTCCTTGCTGTGTGTTTGTCTTTTTAACACCTTCATCTAACAGCTGAAATGTCTCCTCAGCCTTTATTAGTGTCTACAGAAGTGATTCATCACTAACTTAAACAAATCAGCTGTGTTCATGATCTAAAACATGCAAGAAAACTGCTGGAGCCAGACTGCAGCGCCAGGTATGTCAGCTCCAACAGATTGGATTGGCAACTCTGACGTTGCAAATACAGCATTCTGGCCACAGAGGGTGATGGGGGTCTGAGTGGCATTTCATTAACTCTGTAAAGTGTCATTTTAGCACCTACTGGCTCCAGAAATGATTTAAAACTATGAAAAAGTTGCCTAGTATCTCTTCAGATATCTGGCCAGCAGAAGGAAGCAGAGTGGTGTCAGATATGAAACTGGTCACGTTTCTAACCCAACAATCACTGAGATCACCCAACAATCACTGAGATCAATGTTAAAGTGCAGGTTTAATTTTTGAAAATCTATTTGGTGTAACTTTAAGTGAAAGAATCCAAATCACAAAAGTCATGAGAAATGATCAAATTTGCAAGTAAAAAAGCTAAAACTGAAAAGTTGAAATGTGCCCTGAAAACATGCTCCAGTGTGAAGGGTACTGGTGGGGTATTGGGATTGCTTGCATTCGTAGATCTCCAGTAGTGCAGCAACTGGTTCAATTCCCACTCGTGACTGGTACCTGGATCAGTGCGACTCTGAAAGGGGTCTGATGGCCTCCCTGAGTTTCTGAGAGGTAATTGTGTGTGTGTGTGGGGGGGGGGGGTATGCTGGTTGGAATGGTGCCAAGATGCAATTTTGCTAATGTGGCAACCAAGTAACTAGTAACTCATTAGTAACTTGGCCTTAAATGGCCAACATACAAATGGGCTTTGCAGCTTTGCTAAAGACGTTCGCCACCACATCAGCAAAAATTCCATTTCAGCGCCATTCCAACCAGCATTCAACTTATAGGTTTCTGTTGAAATCCAGATGGAAAGGCAGCAAAGACGACATTAGCAAATAACAGCAGAGCCAATTAATGAGCTTGTGGGCAAGTCTAAAGAGAAACCAGCTTCTGCTTTGGTGTCGGTTTTCTGCTTTGGTCCTAGTGCCTGACATGTGTGCATTTAAAAAAGCGTAACATTGTTTTTAGCAGTAAAAACTGAGGAGCAGACAGAAAAAAACGGTACTTGTGGGGTAAGGATGTCCCATTCCGATATCGATATTGGAAGTCGTTTGAGGTCGGGCCAAAAACAGTGTATCGGATTATATCGGACGGCATCAAAAATCTCCGATATAAGCAGTCCATTAAGGTTCCCGTTTTTGCAAACAACGGTTGGCTCTTGTTCTCCGAATGAGTAATACCACATGATCAAGCCTTTCATACGTTCCACACTACGAAACAGGTAAAAAGTATGATTTGTGCGGATATCAGTATCGATCAATACTGAATATGCAATATTGGTATCGGAAGTGAAAAAAGTTGTATCGGGAGATCCCTACTTTGGGCATTAAGAATGAATGGGGCATGGGCACAAGCACCCACCAACCCCCTCTTTGCACATGCCTGTTTGTGGCAAAGGATAAGTGTTGTTAGCTTATGGAGCAGACAACCAAAATCTGACTGGTGGAGACTGCTGATGATACGTAGAAAAACACCTAAAACACATGTTAAAACAGGGTGTGTGTGTGTGTGTGTGTGTAAATATAAGTAGTAAAGGGTAGTTACAATTAAAAGACCATTTTACCTCTAAACCTGCTTCCTCGTCCACACTCTGGATGCTTTGGAAGGCCATGGTGTAGCTCTCCAAAGCTTTGGCGTGGAACGCCATTTCCACCGTCACAAACTCACTGAAGACTTTCTTGGATCAGGAGGAAAAAGACAGAAGACTTGAAAAACTGTCTGACAGTCACAAGACAGGAAATTAAATCAGGCAGAAACTGAGCGGACCTTGATGTCTCGGATCCTCTGCAGCTCAAACTTGTCTATGGCCTCCTCCAGCTGTTTGGTGGTCCGTGTGGCGTCCATGGTGGCTCTCTGGAGCTCACTTTCAGCCTGACAGCATAACATTTTATAAACCCCATATTTTAAACTACTGCTGCAAAATGTATCTCTTTTAATATATATTTATTTAATAATGTTTCATCGTCAAAGAAACAGCACTCAGATCACTAGTTCTGTTCTGATTGAATTTTACTGGTTATTTTAATGGCTAATAAATCCACATGATCTAATTCTAAACGTTCTTTTTATAAATAAAACGAGATATTTTAAAACCAGCTGAGCCGATCTGTCGTGGTGAAGAGGGGGCTGAGCCAGAAAGCCAGGCTCTCGATTTACCGGTCGATCTACGTCCCAATCCTCACCTATGGTCATGAGCTTTGGGTAATGACCGAAAGAACGAGATCGCGGATACAAGCGGCCGAAATGAGTTTCCTCCGTAGGGTGGCCGGGCTCAGCCTTAGAGATAGGGTGAGGAGTTCGGACATTCGGGAGGGACTCGGAGTAGAACCGCTGCTCCTCCGGATCGAAAGGAGCCAGTTGAGGTGGTTTGGGCATCTGGTCAGGATGCCTCCTGGACGCCTCTCTGGGGAGGTGTTTCGGGCATGTCCTGCCGGCAGGAGGCCCCCGGGTCGACCCAGGACACGTTGGAGAGGTCACATCTCCAATCTGGTCCGGGAACACCTTGGGGTCCTGCCGGAGGAGCTGGTGGAGGTGGCCGGGGAGAGGACGGTCTGGAGCTCCCTAGTTGGGATGCTGCCCCAACTATGTACTATTTGTACATTTTGACAATTGCAATAAAGTTCATAATTTAAAAAAGAGAGAGGGAAAAATCCACGGGACACACCTGAGACTGAAAATCTGGTTAAGAAAACACAACAATAATATTTTCCTGCAGTTTAATAATAAATTAATTAAGTTTGACAAGTTATGCCGATATTAAACGTAATATTCTTACACACTGCTGTCTTAATGCAAATGTTACTTTTTTTTTTTTTAAGTTTCACAACCGGAGAAAGACAGCAAGGATACGATAATCTGTCGGTCTGAAGGGTTTTTCAGTCTGGTTCTCTCGAGCTGAGCCATCTGTTTGGCTTCTCTGTCTCTGGCACTTTGAGTTGTCTTCAGATCCTCCTACATGGACACACAAAGTATCATAATGATAATTAACTGTAGCCATTTAAGACATCTGAAGCACCTTAACCGACTTCATGTTGCTCGCAACTTGATTCAAACACCTTTGATTGTGATGCTGGTGGTCACCCCAGCAGCAGATCAGAGAGAGGTGACGTACTTCGGTTGCAGTAAAGTTACAGTTATCATAGTGTTCGTGTTTTTGCGAATGAAGCAACAGCTTATTGTGCCCTCTTGTAGTCGTGAGACAAACAGCATCACTATTTAGCTTCAGCTGTGTTTGCTTTAAAAGCCTCACCCTTTTATGCTTCACCACCGCTTCGTAGTTCTTTAACGGCTCTATGACTTTGGCCTCAAGTCTTTCCACCTGTAAAACAAACGTACATCATGACTGAACACATCATAGACTGTGTGGATGTTGCTGAAATGCCAAATGATCCACCTCAGCTTGGCGGTAGTCCTGAACTTTGGCCAGGTGATCAGCAAACTGCTTCATTCCCCTCTTGAGGTCTGGGGCCTCGGTATCGGCATACAGGCCGATTTCACGGACCAGAAGGTCTGCTTTGTCTCGTAGTCTGGCTGTTTTACGAGCGTAGGCAGCAAAAAGTTGGCATATCTCTCCAAAATGTTTCTCCACCTTAGTGATGTTCTCCTGGATCCTCTTAGTCTGATCATCTCTGCAAAGAATAAATGGAAGCATTAAGTGCATTAAGATTATAGGAAACAACCAAGGAGGGGCATTGAATTGTAATCTATTATTCAAAGTATTTATTTAGATTTGAAAAGTACTTTGGTCCAGATTGACCCAATTATAATTTTGTCTGCAGTTTCAATATAATCAGTAGATAAGTAATAATACGTAATGCAGGCTTATATTTTAGTAGGTGAACATCAGTTAGTAAATGTCTGAAACACTGAAAATTCCCGCTCAGGGTTAATAAAATCATAACTTGACGTGTTGAATATATTTACCTGGCTCTCGCATCAGGTGTGCGACTCATTTCTGCAGACGAACAATGAAGATAATGTTTACTTTTACCAAAGACGTTTCTTAGCGCGGTGCTAACCAGCTAGCGGCTAGCTAGCAAGCCATTCTGCCGTTTCCATGGAGTTCCCCTGCGTTTCCGCTCCGCGTTGCATTCTGGGACATTGAGTTCCTTTCTTATTTCGCTGTGATTAGCTGCTCAGACCTGGACTAAACTTAAATTTAATACAGATTTATTAAAACGCAGTTTATGATTTGAACGTGGTTAACATTGTCAGGAAACAGCCTTTTTTTTAATTTTAGTGTTAAAAGTCCATATCTATTTTGGTCATATCGTTTTTTGTTGTCTTTTACGACTAAGTTCCAACATCTTGGTGGCATTGTCAGACATTATTACAGTTCAATATTTGGTTATTTGTGTGAACTTATAGTACAAACATAAATTGTAAGAAGTAGAATATTTTTGTATATAAGAAGTCTAATTCAAGCAAAAACTGGAAAAATAAAGGGTTAGCTAAAAACCAGGGGTGGTTCTAGGGTAAGCTTGGACCCCCCTTCCCACCCCCCCCCCCCCCCCCCCACCCACCCCAGCTGAAGGCAGATCTTAAACATTGATAAGCTTTTTGTGATATTTTAGGCTAAATGGGAGATGTGGAACCATAACATGAGACTGCATTCATCCCAAAATTTAGAGACACTTAGAAAAAAATGTCATGTTACCTAAATAACCCAGATAACTCGTCTTTTACTGAATTGCTATTTTCATTATTACACCCCCCTGGTTTGTTTATTCCTCATCTTAGACTGCCATCTAGCGGTATTGTTTAAAAACGTAATATTTGGCTTTTAACACGTTTGTAATTCTTCCTGCTGACATTGAACATTATCATTTAGTGACTGTTTTGAGCGTTGTTGCTCATTTCAATGGAATTTATACAAAATGAATTTATGCTGCCATAAATTCTTCTTCACTGTTTTGCTGGCAGAATTATGAAATTCCAGCTATGAGTACTTCAGTAGTATAACCACATAAATCTATAAATAAGAACGTATTGTGAAACGACTTAAAAAGTTTATTTAAAATGAGTTTGTGGATGCAAATGTAAGGTGTTATGTAGGAGTCTAGGATAAAATCTTAGTTTTGCATAAAAACACCCAGCAGCAAAATGGTATCATTTTGTAGTTTTATTGATGGTAATTTTATCACTCATCCAGTAATAATCATGGCTTTAAAATAAACTGACGTCCCTATCATCCAAAGTCGCCCGCCTCCATTTAAACATGCGATAGAAAAATATATACTTAATACTTTGTACAATACTGGTTTTGGTCCAAACAAAAGTGGATCAGAAAAGCCAATATACCTTTACCTAAAGGTTCTCCAATTTGCATTTAAGCTCCTTTTAAATGGATTTGGGCAACTTTGAATATAGGAATTTACATAATAAATTCTAAAGACAAAAAAGCTGAATGCAGAGTTTGTAACACAAAAAAAATCTCAACTTCACAGATTAAAAAAAATATCACTATTTACAAGTTTTTTATAATATTCAAAGGCCAATTAAGAGAAAAAGGAGAGGTTGTGAGAAATAAAGGGAGAGAATAAGGAATCGGGAAGAGGAAGGGGGGACCGAGAGAGACGAGAGTGCACAAAAAGCGGAGTTGCGGAGCGAACCAGAGAAAAATCAAACATCTAACGAGGATTTTTGAAGCTACACATTTACAAAGTCCTAAAGGGGTCAAACGAGGGCGTTGCGCCTCCGGCCCGGTCCGTCCTCCGCTGTGCATTAATGCAGCTTCCCAGCTCCCGAACCCTGCCCCTCCTGCCTTCCTCCCCTGGTTTTGTTTCAACATTCATTTGCTTCCTCGCCAGCGGCGGCGCCACCAGGCGATAACTCAGTCGTTTTAAGTTTTCTAACACACCGACACGCATCCTCAGCATGTACAAAGAAGCCAAACACACCTCAAGTCTGTACATAAGAGGAAAGAAAAGACACGCACTCTGCATTCAGACAAGCTCGTCTCTGTACAAACGGCACACGGCACCAACACGTCCGGTGCTTCCTGTGGAGGCTTCAGCAGGAACAACTGAACATTTACCACACAGCTCTCCTAATCTGATCACACACTCCAATTATTAAGCTTACACTCAAACTTTATTTTCTTTTTTTAAACTGCAGTTTTTTACTCTTTTTGTACTTTTATTACAAAAAAAAAGTCATGCCTAAAGTCTAGCAGACATTTTGCCGGCGTGTAAAACAAAGATATGACTGTTTTGCTTGTTTTCTGTTTGGGAGTGGGGTCTTTGCTTGACTGTCGTCCTCTAAGTCCGTGTAGTAGTTTAGTCAAGTAAAGTCCAGAGGTCTCACACATTATTAACTCTCACTAACACATGAAAATCTTTGAACAAGCCAAAACTGCCCTGGATCAGCTCTGCTTGCCAAACAGTAGTGAAATTTGTCCAGCTGAGACCTGTGAGAACTACAACAGTCTGCGTTGTGGTGAGTTGGGGGGGTCTAGTTTAGTCGTACTCATGCCTAGTCTGGTCAAGGCCATGCAGGTCTACTTTCTGCGCCTCACTGCGGTCTTGATCTTGCGTCCAGCCGCCGGAGAAGCGGCGAAGGATTTAGTTGATCTGGAAGAGCAGATTCAGGATCAGTTAAAAAGCACAAATCGAGAGGATTCTGACATCCGGTAACAAGCTGGTGACATTAACCTACCCCATGTTAAAGGCTGGAGTTTGTGAAAAGTTGAAGCCACCAGCAGCTGCTCCCGGCTGGGGAACGATGGAGGAATTGGTGGAGGGGGCAGGGGCGGCTGCGGCTCCGGCTCCAAAAGTAAACACACCTGAGTTGGTGTTGGTTGTTGCTCCAAATCCACCCGCTCCTCCAAACTGAAAGCCCCCACCTGACGAAGATTCAAACAAAACACTCAAACAACCAGTAAATCACTACCAGTACAGATTAAAAGAGTTTACTTACTTGACGTGGAGTTAGCAGCGGCCCCGAAAACAGGCGTGGAGTTGGTCTGTTGTCCAAAAACGGGAGCAGCGTTGGCTCCAAAGGCTGGAGTTTGGGAAGGCGTGGCTGTGAAAGGGGATCCAAAAGAAGATCCAAATGCTGGTTGGGTGGTTGCAAATCCAGCAGGAGGGTCTGAACTGAATACAAACGGGGCAGGAGCTGCAGAAGGAGCTGAAAGTAAACAAAAATATAAGTTAAACTTTAAAATAAAGTCAAGATTTAGAAATTATGAAACTTGAATCCACAGAAAGCTGAGCAGACCTGATGAAGAGGCAGCAGAGGGCGCTGTTGCTCCAAAGCAAAAGTTGGGAGCAGCAGGATTAGCAGGAGCTCCAAATATGAAGGGTTGAGACTGCGCAGGGGCGGAGTTCAGAGGAGCGCTCGACGGAGCCGAGGACTGGCTGTCCTGACTCTGTCCAAAAACAAATGCCTTAGTGGGAGGAGCGTCACTGGTGGTCACCGGCGGCTGGCCGAAGACAAAGGTGCTGGGCGCCGATGAGGAGGATGGAGCCTGCGTGGAGCCGCCAGCAGTGGTGGGGGCGGAGCCAAACAAACTAGAAGTGGGTGTGGAGGTGGCGGAGTTGGTGGTGTTGATCTCGATGTTCTTAGCCATGAAGGAAAACACTGGTTTTGGGGCAGCAGCAGGATCTGTTCAGGGGAAAAAAACGCGTCACTTTTAGTAAACACACAACAAATCCCCGCTGAAGCTAAACATTTACAGAAGAAGCACCTGCAGCACTTTGTCCAAAGGTGAACGTAGGCTTTGGGGTCTCTGAAGCGGACGTCTCGCTCTTTTCTGCTGGTTTGCCAAAAGTAAAGGTTGGTGGAGGTTGTTCTGTTGGAGCGCTGACTTTCCCAAACGAGAAGCCTCCTGTAGCAGCCGGCGCCGGATCTGAGTCCTTACCAACACCACCAAACAGGAAGGTGGACGTAGCCGGGGAGGCAGATGCTTCCTTCTTCTCTGCTGGTTTTCCAAAGGTAAAAATAGGAGCAGCCGTGTCCTTTCCTGCCTGCAGCGAACCAAACGTAGAACTCACTTCTGTCGAGCTGGTCGCCAAACTCGGATCGCCCAACCTGGAAAACACAGGCCCTTTTTTGGCGGTGGCGGTGGTGTTTGTCGGCGTGGTGTCCTTTGATGGTTCTGCACTGTCACCCTTCTCTTGTGACGGAAAAAGAGCAAAAGCAGCAGCAGGCGAAGCTGAAGAGGCTGTGGCGGTTTCTGCTGGTTTCTCTACGGCGTTCGACAGTCCGGCGAAGCCACTTTTAGGAGAGTTACTTTCTTTGCCGGATGATCCCGGAACAAACGCTCCAAACTTTATCCCGGAACCCGCAGAAGGCTGATCGGACTTCTTATCATCTCCAGCGGCACCAAATTTAAAGCCCTCAGAGGGGCTGCCGAATTTAAACCCTGATGATGAGGCAGTCGAGTCTTTAGAGGAGGATTCTGATGAGGCGCTTCCAAACGAGGCTTCAAACTTAAATCCACCGGACGAAGTCGACAACGAGTCGGAAGTGCCGAACTTGAAACCCCCGGTTACAGATGAGCTGTCTGACGCGCCAAACTTGACACCTCCGGAGGTAGAAGAGCCAAAAATGGACGCTCCAGTAGTCCCACCAACAGAGGAGCCAAAGGCTGAAAAACAAAAGGAGGAGACTTATAAACGCGATAACGGCAGATTAGACGCAACATAACATCACCGCATCTAATTTACATAAAAATGAAGTGTTTTCTGCTTTTGTTATTAAAGGTGCACTAGAATAGTCTTTTATTATTGGAAACTGCTCTTGAGCCTTGAAATTACACGTCGACCGATATTGGTTTTTCTATGAGACAATGGCCAGTTTGTACTGCCAACATTCATGGACTGATTTTCATGGCCGATATCCAGACACCTTCCAATATATTTTCATGCTAAAATGTCACTAATGACATCAGTTGATTTCTGAAGCTGAATCAGTTTTTAAACTGAATTTAATGTTAAATCTGAACTTTTTGCACTGCTCAGTGTTAAAAGTCAGACACCTAAATAGAGTATTTATTATGCAAATTATATTAATGAATGTAAAAACACATTTAAATTCTGCAGCAGCACCAGGCTGCCCAAGGATGTGTCTGACTTTAAATCTGCTTCAATAAGAACAAATATCGATCGATGCCGACTAGGGCTGGGCATCGGGCATCGACTGGAACCAGGACCAACTGTTAGTTTCTCCCGGAATCAAAGTTTATTTCGATTCCTAGTTGTGATTCCTAGAATGCCGCCTGGAAGAGGAATCCGTGGCCGATCTCTGTGAAGAATTAACGTGATCTGCAAATAGTGATAAACGCTTTTCAGAGCCGATCACACCAGCTGTCTGTGTGCAGCGCCGAGTCCCCCCACCACTCGTGTGTGTGTGAGGGAGGCTGAACAATAACCTGTAGAACAATTAGTCATCATGCTAGAGCAGCTTCTCTGTGGTGGACCACACCAGCTTCTGCCACGATAAATAATAATAATAATAATAATATTAATAATAAATCACACACAAAGTTGTGAACATTTTAATTTCCTTTCTGAACTATTTCTGTTGAGTTTTAATGTTTAAAATCTGTTAGGTTGTTACTGACAGCAGCTACATTTAAGTTTCACTTCCTGTTCTGACTGAATGCTGCTGCAGCATGGAGGTGTAGTTCTCAGTCATCCTGGACGTGATCATCCTGAGAGTTTTAGCTGAAAACAGCTGCACGTTTCTGGATATGTTGGAGACATTTAGCCTCTCATCCCAGAGGCTTCTTCCAGACTTTGGTTGTGGTCAGAAACAAACACACTGGCTGTGCTGCAAGTCTTTTTCTTTTACTCTCCAAAACATGTTGTGTCTAAATGAAGGTGATGTTGTTGTTCATAGAATTAAAATTCATGTTGAAGTTAAGATTATTTCCTCAAGTAGGACCTGCGGTTAGCTGGCTCGTGTAAAACATGTCTTGGAAGAATCGGAATCGATAGGAACCGGAAGAGAAACGAGGAATCGAAATCAGAATAGTTCAAAATCAAACGATGGCCAACTTTAATGCTGACGTATTAAAAAAAGATAAATAATTGTCCGATATATCTGTCTACCCCTACTTGAATTAGCTTATAAAATGGCCAAGGAGCCCTGAAAAATAACCAAATACAACATAATTAACTACAGGCTGTTTTGCCCCGCCCACTCAGCCAGAACATGAAGTTAAAGTCAAAAGTTAATCTTCCACAAGTTCTCACACACTGGTTAAATTTATTCTCGGCACTCAACTCTGCAGACACAGAGATTCTCTGGAACCGTCTGCTTTAGCGCTGCATGCCGATTGGCCAGTTTATCCAAAGGCTGTACAACGGACTGAAGCTAAATACTCTTGTTTGTGTTGAGGAAGTGAAGTGAGAGAGATGGGTGATGGATGTGGGGCTTGTGGGCGAGTGAGGAAGAGGTCAAGGACCACAAGCATCCATCCGGCATTCAGTCGGAGTTTGGATATTCCCAACACATCCTGGAACGGAAGTGGTGCTCTGACATTCGTCATTTTCCTCTCGTCCAACAATGATGTAAGTAGTAGCTCGGGCTAGCATTGTTCTGGCTAACGCTGGCAGTAGCTCAAGCTAGCGTTAGCAGCAACTCGTTTGTAACATCGTTTGCGTAATCAATGTTTGTGTTGCTGGTGTTGGGTTGGGACATGCTAATTTAAGGTGGCATCTAAACCTAACATGTGTTAAACCAGCTTTTCGCAGACTAAATAAGTTTATTTTGTCTTTGTTATAAATCAAATGACTCAATTTTCTTTTTTAAAGACAAACCAGCTGATAAATGACACAGTGGCGAAAAGTCGGGTGACGCTCTGAGGAAGACTGAAGCCTTCAGTCCAAACTGTCAGCAAGTATGAAATAAACATCTTTAAAGAGCAAGTCACCCCCTACAGGAAACTTACTTCACTCCCACTTCATGTTTGAAAAATGCAACAAATGCTGTTGCTTGGCAGACCGAGAGGGCGGAGCCTCTAACAAATACACACACACGCAGGCTCACAATGGCATTGTGACATCATAATGTACCAGATGACACCATAGCATACCTCCTAGCCAATAGCAGTGGCAGATTTTAATTCAGATACAGTGCAGAATTTTTCCCTGACGACGGCGCAACACTGACAGTTTTAGGCAGAATATTTGAATTTTAACCAAGATGCACTGAACTGCCAAATTATTGACTACACGTGTCTGCAGCACGATTAGACACTCCTTTACATAGTTTATCAGCAAAAAAAAAATGTGATTTGGGGGTGACTTGCTCTTTAAACCTGCAAAATGTTTGTCTTAAAAAAGGAAAACTGAGTAATCAGCTCTTCTCAGAATGAATCGTCTCTAGGTTGCCGCTACAGACAAAATTTACACAGGAAAGCAGGTTTTTGGTACATTTCATAACTCAAGCCGTCAGCAAATAACATTAATGTGGTTTTAAATTCTAGGATCGCTGTAAAAATAATCCTTTTTCCCCGTTCTGATAAGCTATTCATCCCAACAGCCTTTAGGTACCTTTAGGCTCCACCTTAGCTCCAGGTTTGGCCGTCTGACAGGCAACACACTTCACATCTGCAGCTTTATTCTGCACCAGACAAACGTCACAGTCCCAGGATCCCTCTGGTTTCTTGAACTTGTCTCCAAATCCAAACACTGGGGCGCTGCTGGTTGATGAGGCAGCCTCCGCTGTAGCTCCTGTTAACGATTTGAACATAAAAAGGATGCTCAGTAAGAACATGCCTCAAGAAAGCGGAGTAAAAACAAAGTAAATATCAAAACACCATGCTGCCATTACCCGGTTTAGCTTCTTTGCAAGCCACGCATTTAGTGTCCTCCGCCTTGTTTTGTACCAAACACGTTTGGCATTCCCACGAGCCCTCGGGTTTTTGGAATATATCTCCAAATCCACTGATGCCTGTGGAAATGGGGGTTGTGGGAGCGGGTGCAGTCTTAACAGTTGAGAAGGCAGAAGAAAAGGTGAGAGAGGGTTTGAGCCCCGTCCCGGGTTTGGCCGTTTCACAGGCCACACACTTCACCACATCTGGTTTGTTTGAGATCATGCACGTATCGCATTCCCAGGTTCCTGCAGGCTTAGAAAAGATGGGACTGAACCCCGTCGTGGTCACAGCGGCGCTCGTGCTGATGCTCTCCAGCCCCACAGCACTGTCGTTTGACGGTTTGCCCTCCGTGGATTTAGGTGAATTGTTTGGTTTTGAAGCCGCACAGCAAACACATTTTGTGTCCGACTTCTTGTTCTGAACCAAGCATTCGTCACAGCTCCAACCCGCAGGGGCCTTCGGTAAACTAACAAACTCTGTAGGAGCAGGCAGGGAGGAGGAGGAGGAGGAGGTTGTGGCCGTTGAGACGGGTGCTGCGGGGGGCGTCGGTGTTTGCTGTGGAGCAACGTTTGGGTCTGAGGAGTTCGGAGCAACGGGAGAAGCAAAACCTAGAGAGGGGAAACGGAGCGTTAAGATAAAAACATTTTTATTAAAATACGCACAAAAAGGCCGGGCGATTGACCTCCTGCACCGATCGTTTTTAAAGATAATATTTTTATAAGTCCTGAGGATGAGATATTATATACTTCCAAGAAAAATCAGGGTCCTCTTGCCACATTCTCTTTGTACACATACAGAAATCTGGGATTTTAGTGCCAATCACGGATACAACCACCTTTGTCAAACTACATTTGAAATTATGTCCAACATACGGTTCAAAGCCGCTAATCACTGACAGAAAACAACCATCTGAAACAAAACTCGTCTTTATCCACTAAAGTCCAAATAGCGTCCTCCACAAGTAGGGCTGGGCAGTAGAACGAAAGCAATATCCGTTTGAACATTTCCTCCATAGATGTGATAGCCAATCATATTAAGTGCTGCACCCGGCTGGACCAATCACACGGCAGACAGACTGACACGCTAACAGCTAATGTTTGTGTAGCTTTACCCCAGCTTTCCACCAGATGTGAAAGCAGCGGCGTTTCACCCTCGAGCTCCCCTCCGACTGGGAGCCATTCAGACACAGCCGATCCCGCGAGATCGCAAAATCACGAGAGAATTCCAACCCCATGCGCGATTTCAGAAGTCCACACAATAGCGAGGAGCAAGACGGCTCCATGTACACAAAACGGTATGGTTAATTTTCTGTTCTGACTTTTATTTTGAAAGTTTTCTGAAGTTTGTCACTGATTTCATGTTTGACTTCCTGTCTGGCCCGATCTGAACTGGTGTTTGACGTGTTTTGGAAGTTTAGCGTGCAAAAAAATAGACTTGTGACGTCATGAAAGCTTCCCTTTGCTTCTGGGATGCGTCCAAAACGTTACTTTGCTTTCAACGGAAAGTAAACCGTTCACTAAAATGGTGGCTAACTGTCATATAGCACATTTTGCTGCCTTTTTGCACCGCTTTCATGCCTGGCGGAAAGACAGGTTAGCCTCTTACCGCAGGTAACAGGTGGGACATGAATGATATAAACAGAAAAAAAAAAATTGCGCCCCAAAAGAAAAAGATGGAGGAAACAGCAAACGACAATAAGGGATCGAACAGTTCAGTCGTGTGGACGTATTTTAGCCTTTTAACATCCGACAACGTGCACTTTACAATCACGGAGTGGGCCAGTTAACCACTGCTGCGTGTCGCCAAAGCTTTTTCCTCTTCATGGTCTACGATACGTTGCTCAGGTTGAAAAAAGTCTCTAAAGTTTTATATTTTAGAACAATTGATGTCTCCGCGGTTCCAACGGTAATATTTTAATCATATATGGGCCCATTATTGCTCTGGAGGGTGAATACATCACCAGTTATTTGTTGGACTGATCAATATCAGCTAGAAAAGATTTTTCCTTACCGCCCGACCTCAGAGCGCAAAAAACAAATTATTCTACAGGTTCCTACCAGGGGACTTCAGGAGGTCCAACACACTGGCCTGCTTCAGCGTCTTGGCTGGTTTAAAAGGTCCTTCAAACTCTTCTGTGCTCTTGCTTCCGACTGACTTCACTGCAACACATGAAAACAGATGGAAGCTCACTCAAGATGCTCTGTAACCGTAGACCAGGGGAGCCCAGTCCTGGTCCTAGAGGGCCGGTCTCCCAGCAGGTTTTGTGTTTTTTCTGCTCCAACACACTTGATTAACTGGTTGAATCACCTGTGCGGCATCTCATCAGGCTCTGCAGAAGCCTGTTAATCACCTGCTGATTGAAATCAGGTGTGTTGAAGCAGTTAAAACTAAAACCTGCTGGATAATGGCCCTCCAGGACCAGGACTGGGCACCCCTGCCGTGGACCATCAGGAACAGATGAAGAGTGGGCGAACGCCTTCACCTGGTCGTGCCGAGGGTGTGGCGAGATTTCCATTGGACATGGACAGAGAGGGAGCCAACTTCGCTACAGGTGCGCTGAAAGTAAATCCGGTCTACAAGGAAACAAGACAACATGCATCACCTGTGTTATTACAGCAGGCTATTTGACGAGTTAATTTAAGCATGTACTCACGGAGGGGGAATAAGAAGGTGGGCTGGCAGCAGTTGCTTTGACAATGGGGGAGGAAAAGGTGAACGGTGCGCAGGGCGGTGTCGACGCCTTCGGTGGATCCTTGTTGGGGACAAAAATTTTTATCTAGTGTTCTTTTACACTTCTAAAAATAAAAGTAGGAATAAGCAGATGTAGGACAAACCTTATTTGTGGCTGCTTCCTTAGTAGGAGTGACAGCTGTGATCTCGGGGGCGGAGCTAGTAGATGCGGAGGACGTGAAAGGCGGCAGAGTGGAGAAGCTGAACGTAGGCAAAGACGATGGGTTGATGGGAAGTGAAACGCTTGGGAGGACGGGTACCTCAGCAACCTTTAGTGAAAACATAAGCATGTTCCGTATTAAACGTTGGTTTTTGTACTTTTATCCATCAACAGTCGTCAGCTGATATTCTTCACCTCGTCCTCCTCAGAGCGCTTGGTGGATGGCCGAGCGGTGCTTCTTTCTCTTTTCATTTTGCCCGTTCTGCAGCCGACGCTGATGGCTGCAGGCGTGCTGGACCGAGGATGGACCGGGCCACTAAAACTCCTTGTGCTGCACCAACAAAAACAGTCAAATTATCCATAATGGCTTATGGAACAAGCTGTGTGGTTAACAAAAAAAAAATATTCCAACAAAACTGGAAAATCTAAGAACAGCGACCGCGCTGATCGATGCAGATCTGAGGCCGTCGACCAGAGGAATCCGGCTTTACCTTTGAGACGGGCCTGGGGTTGCATCAGGTAGTTGTTGTGATTGTCTCGAAGGCTACAGGAGAAACAAATCATCAGCGTGACTCCTTCAACGTGAAAAAAATAACCTGGAATAAAACAACAACTGTTGGCTACTAACGGTCTTCTCTGTGGCTGTTCTGTCAGAAGTTCTCCCGGGTCCACCGGGTGTCAAAGTGGGCCTGAAAGACACGGAGCGACTTCCTGAACCAAAAGCTGCTGATGGAATCACGAGCTTCTGCACTGGTGGAAGATTCGAATCCATCTAGGGAAAGAAATATATACGTCAGTAAAAGCTCAGCACATGAATAAAGATGAGAGCGAAGATGGCGTCATTCTTCTGTGTGCTGTGCCACAAAGCCCCCAAGGGGTGGCCGGGACCACACATTCATCTTCTTTAATCCGGACGAATTTTAAAGCCAATACGTTTATTTTAATTAATAAACCAACTTGGTGTGCCACGCCAAATTTTTCCACTGCCCCCATGTCAATTTTCTAGGTGCGCCACTGTTTGTAGCATGAAGCTACTAGGTGTGGAGGCAACACACGCCTCCACATAAGCACCCGTTTTCCTTTACTGTAGATGTAGAACGACTCTGGGAGAAGGATTTTTAAACAACAAACCCTTGTTTCATTCTCTGCGTAGCAGCTGTGACGCACAGCTGGGAAAGCCGGACACTTAACGCACAGCTGGTCAGATTTATGAAGAACGAAGAACTTTTTCAGACGCCAAAACCACCTGGCAGTGTGTTTATTTTCCAGCAAGTGTGTACTCATTGTGAACAAATCCACTTACAGCAAAGGACAGCTGGGAGGTTTTGAAGAAGCCAACGGTAGCTGTGTGTGTGTGTGTGTGTGTGTGTGTGTGTGTGTGTGTGTGTGTGTGTGTGCTCCTACCGTTGATCACATCTCTAATCCAAATAGCTACAGACAAAATGTAGTTTATTTATGGTCTGAAATCCATATGGAGACATGTAGCTGTCAACAACAGACTCAGACAAAAATACTCAACTCAGTCAAATGACATGAGTACTCAATGTTTCCCCTAGGAATTTTTCCAGCTGTGGTGGTGGTGGTGTGTGTGTGTGTGTTGTGGGGGGGGGGGGGGGGGATTAGTACACGTCTCACCTTCATGTTAATATTGTTTTATTTGATGCACTCCACTTTGAACGGCACCAATTCAGCAACTGCTGCATTTTAATAACTAGTATTAAAGGTGAATACACCAATATTAGCACAAGAATAATTTTTGTTTTAAACTCTCAGTGACACACTTTGCAGGGGGGGGGTTGGCATTTAATTTTTCTTGGCATCTGGAAAAACATCTCCTTCTGCTCCCCTTTATTTGACTTTCTGCCCCCTTTATTTTGGTCCAAGATCATCACTGGGCTGGCCCTATTAGACACATTCTACACCCCTGCTTAGTAGACTTAATGAAGTATTTTTAAGCCAGTATAAAAATGACTGAAACACAAATTTACATGTTTGGCATTATTGACCAATATCTTTGATTTAATTTATTGTTAAGAACATCAAGATGCATTACAGTGAACATTATAATAAAGTAAAATTTTCTAGTGGAGAGAGGAGACAACCCACAGAAGCACTGATCTGATCTCATTTCAGAGAAAAATAGAACTGGTTAGATGCACCTAATAAATAAAATTACTAACATAAACTCAGGAATCTGTTTCTTTGCTTCACTGTTCTGGTGCTGAAAATATCACTAATGCGGATCAAAGGACATACACAGTTGAATGTACCTTATTTATTATTTGGAAATTAGTGGGTGTGGTTTACATCAATACATTATTTTAAATTGTTATGGATCAATCAGAAGTTGCTATGTGTGTTTATTTGAAAACTATTTACAGAGCAGCCTCAGAATTGAGATTAAATATTTTTGATCACAATAGTAAAGAAACTATTACAGAACTAGTGTTTCAATAAAATCAGAACATTAATGTTTAAGTGCATGGATTAATACATCTGATCTCATGCAACTAGGAAATATGAAAAACTAGAACCATTTTATTTTTATTAGATTAAACTGATTTTTTCCTAACGTTGTTGGCATTTTTCCCACACACAGTTAAACAAAACAATGTTGATTAAGGTGTGTGTGTGTGTGTGTGTGTGAGAGTGAGAGTGAGAGTGAGAGTGAGAGAGAGAGTGAGAGAGAGAGAGAGAGAGAATAATTTTTAAAAACCCAACCGGAGCGGAGGCAGTGAGCGATGCATGTGCGAGCCGTTTTCAGCTCTGTCTTGTCAAATGCACCACGTACGTTATGAAAAAAGTAACTTTAAATATTCAACCGAAAAAGAGGCGAGCTGAAGAAAACCTAGGGATTACTGAAGAAACGTGAGCAACAGTGAAGCAATCACAGAGATCCATTACTGTGTGTGTGTGTGGATGGGCCGGACGGAGCGAGCTCCCAGCTGCAGAGTTTTATGTGTAGGGAGGGGCGGGCGCTCTATGTGACTGGCCAATCACAGAGCGTGAAGACAGTCAGTTACCCAATGAGGATTTTCCTTCAGCACGATTACAAATATTTACGAGTTTTAATCGTTTCATCCTCGTATTCGTTAAAAATGCTTTATCTGTACCGGATACTCGTCTGAAACGCTAGCTCACCCCTAGCTGTAACCACCCTGCCCTGCCTTCTCCTCCTTGCTGCCTGCCGGCTGCGATCACAAGCAACAACATAGTTCCCGCTGCTTCATCGGTAAACGGCGCGCAAAAAAAATAACTTGGGATCTTGTAGGTGTGGCACTGGGATTTCAGCCGTGGCACACACTCGTACTTACTCGTTTCCTTTTCGACTGGTGATCTCCTGCATCCAGACGTGTGCCATCTGCTGACTGCAAAGAGATTTTCAGGCGGAAATGGATTTTAGACTTTCCGTGTCGCTGATGATTGAGACGAGTGAAAAACGGAAGACTTACAGGTGAGAGGATGGGTGAGGCTGCTGCTGCTGCTGGGATTCTCTTTGCATCCTGTTGATCAAGACAATTAAATGTTTGAGTATTTTTCAGTCTATCACACGTTAATAATTATTAACAGGATTCTAAATGTTGAACTGGAGTCTAGTTATGTGTACTCACTGCAAGTGGGCTTGACATGCGCTCCAAGGACTGCAGGATGCGCCTGGCGGTGGCACTGGTCACGCCGCAGGGCTGAGCCCCAGCAGACTTGGCCTTGATCTGCCTTCTCACTGGGGCCTGTACATCAGACGCGATAATTCGCTCTCGAATTCAAGTCATTACATTCACACTTTAGGCAAAATATAAATACTTGCCATCACAAATTCAACTACACTGATTCTAGCAGGTTCAAATAAAAGCAGTTTTTCTTTTTTAATTAGCATCTTTTTTAAAGAGCAAGTCACCCCCTACCAGATTCTTACTCAACTCCCACTTCATGTTTCAAAAATGCAACAAATGCTGTTGTCTGGCAGACCGAGAGGGCAGAGTTGCTAACAAATACACACACATAGGCTCACAATGACATTGTGACATCATATGGTACCAGCTAACATCACCGTGTACCTCTTAGCCAATAGCGATGGCAGATTTAAATTCAAATGCAGTGCAGAGTTTTTACCCGACGACGGCACAACACTGACAGTTTTAGTCAGAATATTTAAATTTGAACTAAAATGCACTAAAGTGCAAAACTATTGACCACACGTGTCTGCAGCGCGATTAGACACTCATTTATATAGTTTATCAGCAAAAAAAGTTGAGTTGGGGGTGACTTGCTCTTTATGTAGAAGACAGGCTGCTTTGGTTTGGATAACCATGTCCTGGACGACTAAAACTATAGCCCAAAACTTACACCTCCATATTTTTTAGCTGAATTTCAATAAACGATTATATATATATATATATATATATATATCAAAAAATCGTCTTCCTTTAAATTATTTACAAAAAAGTTACAAGTTACAGCTACACGTCTCTAATGTCACACTGAAACTTTCACTTATAATATTTTTGTTATTTATGTAACATAATTTAAATTCCTTCTAGGGGTGGGTCATATCTAATGTCACAGTATGCTAAATCATGGAATGATAATTCACAACGAGCCAATTTTGTAATAAGTTATGATGCGCTAACCCATTATATGCTACTTTCACGACCTAATTACATCTACTACAGAGGATTACTCTCGCACGGGTCACAATATATCAGTTATTTAAGGTTATGAAGGCAAACATGGCTGGAATCTCACAGTATCCCCCCATGCCAGCAGCTGGAGAAAGATACATAGTAGTTTTGACTTTTTTTTGGTCGCTGCAGGCCCCCTTACCCGTTACCAGCAAGCTAGCAGGTGCGACACCTGCTAACTCTTTAAACTCCCTGGTTATATATATTTATCTATACTGAGAACGATTACCAGCATATTTGTGATTTTTACCTGTTTAAACCAAGCGTGACTAATTGTTTTTACACAAACTCAAACATCACCTGATAAGGTGTTCCAGGACGGTTGCGGGCGCTCCTAACTGCAGCTGCGCCACCATAAGTCGTTTTCCCAGGGTAGAAGGGCGAATCTCCAAGCTGACTAGAGTTCAACATTGTGCTGTTCATGGTTGACTGGAAGACAAAATTATAATGAATACTCATACAAGGTCCATAAAAAAACCACAGAAAAATCAAAAACACCAGTTAAAACGATCTTTTTCAGCTGGACGTTAACATAAAATTTGTGTTAAGATTTACATAATTAGCTGTAGAATGAATGATAAACTGTCTGCCATTTAAATTATTAAAAGTAACCCGTTTCTCATACAGCTAAATAAAATATGTGGTATTATAGCACTGACTTAAAAGAAATAATGGTGTTAAAACATTTCAGAGCACGGTAAAATATTTAAAATGTATTCTAAAATGATTTTGAAGTAAACCTGTAGTAAGTGTGCATTTGACAGTTTCAGTTCCAGAGAGCTGGTTTGTATTTAAACAGGTAACTGGTCTAACGGCCCAGTCCAGGGGAACAGAGTCAACGCTGCAGTTAGACGGACTGTTTGGTTCCCACTAGGGCTGGGACGATAATCAATAAATCAATTAATAGTAAGATAGAAAATTGAACTAAAATTTTCCCGCCTCAATATATGGAGGTTAAGAACTATACAACTCTATTATTATTGTTTATCATTATTGGCGTGCAGTTTTGGTTGTTGACACTGCCCATTGTCATTGTTTTGGAGAGGCGGGGTCTATTTTATTGTTTTTGGTGCAATATTTTCTAACAGAGCGAAAGCCCTTTTTTGTTTGTTTGTTTTGTTTTATTTATTTGTTTAAAAGTTCTGGTTCTGGACATTCCAATGTTAAATAAAGGTTTAATTGTTGCATTTTAAAGGGCGTACTTGCATTATTATGATATATTAATATTACATAAGTGGTTATTTTGGTCTCTATAATATCGACAATAATATCGTTTGTCGTCCAGCAAAATTTGTCATCGCCCCAGGCCTAGTTCCTACATGATGGGATTTCAGCGTTTCGATGGGACTGCACACACTCACGTTAGAGGAGCTTCCAAAGACAGACAGGTTGAACGAGGGCTTTTTCAAACTGGACTGGGGAGGCTGAGGAGCAGAGATACTTCTGTCCGTCTCTGGGGACCAAAGCTGAGGAAGCGATGCAGGTTTTGTAGTGGGGACATCTAAAAAAATAAAAAAATAAAAAAAAAGAGAGAAAAATGTACAGTTATACCAGAGTTTATTACTAGATATGAATGTTTCATATAGCGCCATACTGGTGAATAGTCCAGACAACGTTGCAATGTTCGCAGTGGGAAAGTGTTTCAGCGGGGACCTATTTAACTGCTACACACCAGCATCACAGGATGTGTGAAAACTACACATTTAGCATTTAGCTAGCAGAGATAGCTGGGCCAAAAACATGCAGCATTATGTGTGTCAATGACGCGAAAAGTATAAGTTGTTCACGTGCAAACAACGCAAAGTTAACGTGCTGTGTACGAGCTTTTTCACGTGTATAGTTTATGTGCATTTAGTACTTTTGGCTAAGACCAGACTAGCCTCCGTTGGTTCACCTCGCTGATGAGACTTTGGGTTGAACCGATGCACCCGGACTGACTAGCAGCACAAACAACGCTGTTTATTTTTATGTACAATCTTTTAAAACCTTTGAAGTGTAAATAAAATGTCATGCTAATCGTTGCCAATATACTTTAACAAATAGCTATTATTCTAAATGATTTCATTACTCTGACGATTACATTGCTAACAGATGTAGCCTAGCAAACAACACCTCCATAGCTGGCATTGTGTGGTTCAGACCGGCTCGGTGTTTACGTGTTTGCTTCGGAACTCCTGGAGTGATGTACGGTAAAATAAACACTATAAAATACTGTAACACTGTTATGAATATTATGAAAATGTGATGTGAAAATGTTGCCATACCGCCCAGCGCAGGTGAATTGGTAAATTATACTCAGCTCATACCCTTGTCCGATGCGCGGGAGGAGAACCCACTCGTGGTGGAGATGTTATCATCTTCGTGTTGCGAGAGGTTGTCCTTGATTTCTTTGACCAAAGATAAGCCGGTGGAAAAAGGGCCGGGGGTAGAGGAGGTGGAGGGTTGGGAGAAGAGGCTGCTGGAGGCTCCAAAAGTAGGGGAGGACACATCTAGCGGGTTGAAGTGGAGGTGAGAGCGACTAAGAGGAGGTCGGGAGAGCACGTACTCCTGAAAGTTCAGGGATGCGCGACTTGTTGAGGGTTCTGTGCAAATGAAAGGGAAGTTAATATCATGAATGACAGAAGAAACAGCAAAATGTTGTTTCTGAGCAACTTCTAACCTGTGTTACTGGTGCTTGGCTCTGGTGAATCCCGTCCATCAAAAGAAGGAGGTCCTTCTTCATTACCATTTGGAGGAGGAGGAGGAGGAGGAGGTGGCAGCAGGCAGCTCTGGTCTGTCCGTTGTCCTCCCTCTCCTCCTTCGGGAGCATCTCCGTTCTTAAAGTATTTCTGCAGCCAGGAAGGAACGATGCTCTTCACCGTGTCCGTCACTCGACTAATCAGGCCTGACTGCTGCAGATCAAGACACAAGAAATATGGCGTTAGACAAAGAATATACAAGGAATGTAGAAAAACAAAATAATAAGCATGTTTTTGTTACATTTCCAGGTTTTACAGATGTATATGTCCCCTAAAAGAAACAGACATAACCAATCGCACAGCAAAAATGAAAATAATTTTTTAATGAAAGAAAAACAAAACAACTTTAGTTTGGCGTATAAAAACTTGCTTTTGTTGTTACAAAAATAAATAAACTAAAGAACATTTTTCAGCTTTACAGAAACAGGATTTATTAGTTGGGCGTTGTGTGGTTTCTCATTACCAACCCATGTTGGCAGAACTGAATGCTGCCATTGCCACAATTATGAATGAAGGCATTTGTTTCCTCCTTATGGGTGTTTTTTAATAAGTGAACATCATACTGGGATTACCCACTGTTAGTGTCACATATGTACCATGATGGCGGGCCTAGCTATAGGAGGGATGGGTTGAAAACCTGCTATTCATGAATCATCTTAACGATTCCACTTTGATTAACCCAAAATACTGAGTTTGTTTCATTTCATTTATAAAATCACTATCCCATCTTTTGTTTATTTTTCCCTTTCATCTAAAGAAAACAAGACTATGTTGAACAGAATGTGCTCCAACTAGTCTGCTGCACATCAACAACTGTGGTGACTTGCAGCAAACTGCAAACATGGTTAAATCCAGATTTATTTTTCTTCCAAGTCAAAATTAATAATCTTAATGTTTCTATTAAAAGTGAATTAAAGTTGTACAAAAAGCAACTGGACTTCTTTTAAACTCCCAGAGAGATGTCAGATTTTCTGCAGCTCGTCTCAGGTTGCTGCAATTTGTATTTGACATTTTTGTATTACCCCAAATTTTCCAAACAGTTAAACATTAATGACTTGTGCAGATGGGTACTTTCAGAAAAACTTTTCTGATCTTCGTGACATGGCACAAATATTAGCAAGAAGCAAGCATGTTGCTAACACAAGAACTGAATGTTTAATTTACTTACCATGTAAATCAAAAAGCCACAGCAAATCTTTAGTTTATTAGCATTTGCAAAACTAGACTTTACTTGTTCTTGTCGTTATTTGTTTAAAATAATGCAACTTCTTCTAATTGTAACACCTCATAATACAACGCTAATAATGTGGTAAACAGCAAGGTTGCGCAATAACCTACAACCATCAGCTTTGTGTCTGCCACTAACCTGCATGTTTAACATCTTATGTACTTGTTTGATTTCAATAAAGGCTGATTTATTGCAAAAACATGAGTGCCAGGCCTGTATAGAATAAGAACATACAAGTTTTAAAGTGAGGTGGAAATGGATGCACATGTTTTGATGTAGCAGAGTTGTTTATGGTCAACTTAGCAAATTTTAAATAATTAACGGACAACGTTTGTCATAAAAACACTGCTGACAAAGTAATTATTTATTAATACACCGACCTTAGTTAGATATCATTTCTGCAACTCTAGAGACTTAAGCATTTTATTATAAACACACTATGTGGAAATTTTAAGAGATGACAAAACAGATCAGAGAAACCGCCGAGTGCCCAGCCACGTCTTGCCTAATGTCTACATTTTAGAGTGCTTTTAAAAACGTCAACTTTGCCATCAGGGCGGTAAATTATCCCTCAGGGGGACCATGTGGGTTCCCAATAAACCCAACGCTCCTTGCGCAATTCTGCAGGCTGAGATTTGACTTACACTAGTCATTTATATAATACCTCAGTGGTATTATTGTACAGCTGCATTATAAACGTTCACGTACTTAAATAAATATGTAACGACGGAATAAATGATCGTGTCACTTGAATCTGCGATGTTGAAAAGCACCAAAGACAATGCGTTGTACGCCGATGCTAGTGGGTTAGCTCCAATTAGCAGCTGAAATTCTACTTCCTCGCTTCGTGCTAACTTGGCTAATCACTTTCAACTTACAAAATTATTATCTCAGCTTTTCATGTAGGGATCTGAGCTAAAACAAAAACTAACTTAGTTTTCTGGACGATACACTGTCGTTATTTGACTGTCAAGTCCGTCTAATTTTGCTAACCTTAAGCCAACTTGCTAGTTTGTTAGCATTTCATGGGCATGCTAGCGGCGCGTGGAGGCCACGAGCGCTAACTGAAGGCCATAAAATGTCTCAAACAAAACAATAACAAAACAAACTGAAGAATTGTGGCAATTCAATCACTGTGCTGTGCTCGACTGAGGCTGTTAACACGGAAACTTTCACTTGATTTACCTGTTTACTCTTGGCGTAAGGTTTAGAAGCAATCTGACATCTCCTGCTTCTAATTTTCCCTCCACCCGTGGCCGCCATGGCTCTGTCGTCTGAGTGAGTCTGTCGTTGTTTCGGCGCCGGATAGCTGTCATCCAGCACAGCGGCCGCCGGCAGATGAATTGTGGGTAATGTAGTGAGTGACCATAACAAAGGAGGTCAAGGGCTCTTTATGGAGCCGTTTTTCTGTGCGCAGCATTTATTTATTGGATTATTATTTATTGAGACTGGGGTGAAAACTATTAGCTTATTTAAAAAAAAAGAATTCAAGATAGTCTTGAAATAAAAAAAATGATTGATGTTGTTTTCATTTATCTGATAATAGCTGGCTACCCCTAAACAATTTTCACAGGGGCGGCCAGATGGGGGGCAGTGAAAATTTGGGGTGGCACACCAAATTGGTCCCCGTGGCAATAATAATTTCAAAATTGACAAACACAAACATTTCAGAATAAATCCAGTTATTACTGTCCTTGTTTCATATTATTTGACGGTTTTAAAAGTTTAATTTACGCATTGCTGTCATAACAAAATTATTGGGATTTATGCCTTTTTATTAAAATGAGGAGGTTCTGTGGCACAAGCATATTTTTAAATACAGATTTATTAAATACGGTATTTATTGTTACTTATTAACAATCGATCAAAATAAACGTACTGACATCTATTTATGTCTTGATCAAAAAAGATTAATGTATGATTTGTGTGAACATAAATGTGTTTTAAGGGAGTGTGTGTGGGGCAGAGGGCTTCCACAGGTCACGAGGCAGGGATGGCCAACTATTTTTTAAAGATGGCAATGCCCCCCCTATTTCATCGCAGACCTAAAAGAGTAGGTCAACAAGGGCTACATTCCATTTCTGCAGATGCACTTACTGGTTGTAAGTGGAACGGAGTACGGTGAAACAGATCTACAAAAAACTGTTTTTACTCTCAACATTCTGAGCCGTTTGTTGAATATTTACACAAAATAATCCAGACACCACCAGTGTACATGTGTGTGTAATGCGGAAGAAGATTAGGGCACTGAAAGAAAAAAAAATTTAAATCAGCTGTAAAACTTATGACTTTATCAGTGGCCCCAATCCTCCTCCGTAGTATGAAGCTTCATTGCCTTGAATTTTAGCTTTTACACTCAAACCTGAACCGGAGTCAACCAGACAAATGTTTTATTAGCATTCTGGATTTTTAAAATCACTGATGCAACTTTAAATATGCATTCAGTACAATAATATCCCTGCTGTTTCATGTTACATCCATTCTTCTTCTCAGAATGAATGAATATTTATTATTAGCGTTGCTCATTGTCTCTTTTCTCCATGCTTGATGACAAATCTGCTCTTGGAAGGAACCTTCCTCCATTTTGTGGGCTGCAAACTTCCCAGTGAATCCGTTTGAGCTACGGAACAAATAAAGGTACAGTTACAGGAAATATTAGGACTTCAAATGAGTGAAGATGGTCTTTTTTATTATGGAAGTGACGTCTACGATCACCTGGGACTAAAGCTGATGAGTCAGTGGCGTCATGGTCATCCCTCTGCAAAGTGGTACTCTGTCCAGAGAGGGAAAAGAGACACAAAGATACTGCTGACAGTGGAAAAAAAGCTAAATTTGTTCCAGATTATTTGACAAAACAACCATCAAATAACAAACCTTATTAAGAATAAATCACTTGTTATATGAAGCCAATCTTTTGCACTCAACTCACCTTTATTTTGTGTTGTTCAAACCAAACCATACCATATAAACACAGGAGTGTGATGAGTGCCTGCACAAAAATAAAAACAAAAGATCAAAAAAATCCATGACTATGAAGATTTAATAAAATAATTAAAAAAAAATCTCTTGCATTTGCAAAATTTGAAAGTATATTTGCATAATGCAGCAAAAGCCAACAGTAGTGATAGTTATTATTATCTCCTTTTAAGAGTTTATTACAAAACGCACCCTAAACCCGACTTAAACTGGTCTCATTCTAACGCAAGTCCTAAAAATCCAAATGAAACCCCAGTTTTAGTAAAGTCATGGAGAGGAAGTCCTCACAGACCGGTGTTCAGTCTGATTTTGTTCCCCCGCCGTGATCATAAACCCACAAAACTCATCTTTTCTTACCAGACAGAGCAGCCACAAGAGAATGAAGCGAGTTTGAGTCTTAGAAAATAAATCCAGACCAAACTTCACACACGTGAAAGCCTCCAGGAAAGCGATGGCTCTTTAAAAAACAAACATTCAATCACAATTAGATTCAAAGCAGACCTCAAAACAAAATAAATAAATAAATAAACAAATAAGAATTCAACATTTTCAAGATTGCTATCCCACTGATTCAAAATTGTGGACATTTTACTTGATAAAGACCCACACTTGGATAGCGCCATTCTGAGTCGGAGGACTCCAAAGCGCTTAACTACAGTGAATCATTCACCCACACACACACTGGCGGTGACGAGCTACGTCGTAGCCACAGCCACCCTGGAGCACAGTGAAAGATGTGAAGCTGATGAGTGCAGGCGCCACCGGTCCATCTGATCGGGAGCCCGAGGACAGAGCAGCAGAATTCCCCAGAGGGAGCTGGAATCGATCCGATTACCGGAAAACTCGCTCCTCCATGAGCCACTGCTGCCCGCTGCACCAGGAGACTCTGAGAGCAGCTGACAGTCTTGATCCTGTCGCTATAGCAACCAGGGGACTGGGAGCATTGGCAGCTTTGTGAACGAGATCAATAGCAGCATAATGACGTGAATCATATTTTACTAGAAGATATGTTGTTGTGCTTTGAACATGAAAAAGAACAACAAATCAAAATTAGCATTAGCTAGAGAAATGTACCCTGCCATGAGTCTAGGTGCAATAAATTCAGTCATGATTTTTTTTGTCTTTAGAAGATCACTACTAAAGTTCACTGAATGGTTGATAGGCAAATAAAAGTAGGTTTTAATGAAAATGCATAACTAAACTGGAAAATAAACACTTTTAATCACTGATCTTGAGGCTCGCTGTGCGATGATACTCACCCGAACACCCAACACTGTGTGCCAACTCGTTTACACCGAGCGTCTGTCAGGTACGCATAATACTGTCTGAAAGTACAACAAGACTGTTGTCAATCATGAAAATAAGTCAGTGAATCTCTGTAATACAAAAGGGTTCAACAACAAAAATCAATCACTTTAAAAACGAAGAATAAGATTTAACGGTAGTTGTATAAGGGTGGATTGAAGTTAGTGTTTCTTTTTTATGACAAGATTGTTTTTTTGTTGTTTTTTTTTAATAAATGGAGTCCAAGAAAATGACTGAAAAATGTCTGAATGTAAAAGTTAAAACTAAATCTGAAAACTTTTTTGGTTCTAAAGCCAGATCCGCACTTGAGGCATCGGCGGCGTGCAACGGGAGAGGAACGTTGCTGCTTCTGGGACAGGGCTAGACAGGAAGTCACACACCGTCCCGACGGACCATCCATCCATTTTCTTCAGCAGACTAAGTCGAGAAGCCCAGACTTCCCTCTCCCCAGCCACTCAGGCCATCTCCTCCGGGGGAATCCCAAGGCGTTCCCTGGCCAGGTGAGAGACATAGTCCCTCCACTGTGTCCTAGGCCTCCTCCCGGTTGGACGTGCCTGGAAAACCTCACCAGGGAGGCGTCCAGGAGGCATCCTAACCAGATGACGGAGCCACCTCAACTGGCTCCTCTCAGTATGGAGGAGCAGCGGGTCTACTCCAAGCCCCTCCCAGATGACCGAACTTCTCACCCTATCTCTAAGGGAGAGCCCGGACACTCTGCGGAGAAAACTCACCGTTTCAGTGCAAAACATCTGGTTATTTTCAAAATAAAAGACTTTAGCCGAGATGTGACTTCTCATCTATGTAGATTACATGTGGAAGTGTGTCCTGATGGCCTATTTACTCCCAGCATCTTTCGAGAATGCAACGGTGTGTTTTTCATGGCTTTAACCCTGGCAGTGGAGAGTCATATATGACACCACACAGTGATAAAATGCGATCTTCCTCTTCTTCTTGGTTTAAAGGCAGATTGCGTAAACGAGGAGGACAGTTGAGAAGCTGCTCTGCGACTCCTCCAGTGTGGATTGACAAGCCGCAACGCACACTAGTAAACCGTCCCGCTGTCGTTCTGCGCCGCTGATGCTGCCGGTGTGGACCCGGAATTAGAATAAACCTACATTTCCACTGAACCTATTATAAATCACTGCTGCATGCAGATGGAGATGAAAACATTGAACGTACCTAACCGTGGGTGCAGTGATGATTCCGACGAGAAGGATACGACACCAGCTGAGAGGATGAGAGGCCTGGAAGATGAAGATGTGCAGGAAGAACGTGTTCAACTCCGTCAGCTGCAAACATTAAAAAAAATAAATAAATAAGTTTTGCGTACCTAACAATTAACCACCAGCCTAAATGCTCTTATTCTAAATTCCCACATGCACTACCTGCCAAAGGATCATGAAGAGGTAGATTCCTGCCACCCTCTGGAAGGAGGACTTGGGATCAAACCAGCGCACGTAAGTCCAGCTGGCCGGGGTGAACTGGAGCACGGCTCGCTTTATTTTGCCGGTAGTGGAGTGGATTTCTCTATGCACACACAAAACATTTAATGTACACTTTTAACCAGAAAAACACACAAGTTCTGCCCCAAAAACAGTTTGAATGGGATGAAAATGTTACAAGGAAGAGAAAAGCTTAGAGGGAAGTAATTTAATAATCAAAAAATCAGCAAAAGCCTTTTTTGTAAATTTACTCAGATTATTGCTTTAACCTGTAAGGGGGGGAGGGGATACTGACTTGATGCGGGCCCAGCGATACGTCCTCATCTCCAGAAAACGACAAACTGTCATTCCCAGCCAGATCCCTCCTCCGTTACACAGCAGGATATCCAGGATCACCTGATCCCACCAACACTCTGCAAAGCTTGGTAGAAGGTGAATGAAGAACAGCTGTGAAGTGTTGAAGAGACAAAAAAAGCAATATTTTAGAATGTTTTATTTTTTGAGTGTGTGTGTGTGTGTGTGTGTGTGTGTGTGTGTGTGTGTGTGTGTGTGTGTGTGTGTGTGTGTGTGTGTGTGTGTGTGTGTGTGTGTGTGTGTTACCTCAGTGAGCTCCCATGTGATGCTGATGGTCCAGCACAGCCCGTAGCTGCGGATCAGCAGAGCCTTCATGGCCCATCCTCCAAAGTGGCCAAAGGCAAAGATGTCAAAGTGGCTCAGGATGCGATCCCATGTTATCACGGTACAGTTCACGGCATATTCCTAAAGGGTTCCAACCAGAATTAGCTCAATGAAAACCAGGAATTTTAGTTCTCTAGTCCTGTTGAACTTGTTTTATTTAAAGCTGCATAAAGTAAGGCTGACATCTTGTGGACAAATCTGGGTACTGCAGTCCATGTCTAAAAACTAAAGAGTCCCCTTTCAGCCCTCCCCTTCGTGAGTTGTTTCATGCTGTTGCTACGGATCACAAGCTAAAAGATTCTAGATGACGAGTGAAGACAAGTCATACACAGTAAGTTAATGAGTATATATAAATGCATTTCACTGTAATATAGAGTTATTGGTTATTTAAAACGGTAGCTTGTGACATTTTTAGAGCAGACTATTTTTTTCTAATTCACCGTTAGCATTGTTAGCTCAACGTTAGCTTCTAGCCTTCATCACCCGATAAAGTAAAACAAGAAGATGCCATGGCTTCTCAACGATACAAGAAATCATTTCTGGGCCACTCCTGTTTACTGGCTTCCATTCTGTCCACAACGCTGCTGCTTTTTGCCAGCCGGTGTTGAATTACAAATGCTAGTGAAGCAGTGTTTGTGTTAAAGACTTGGCAACCTTGCAGGTGCACATGACTGACTCTGGAACCACGATGTATGGAGACAGGACAGATTGAACACAACTGACTACGGCCCAGTCCCAATACCCACACTGCAACCTACAGTCCTCAGTGACAATGGTTCCCAACTTTTGTCCTTGGGGACCCCTTCTCTGTGTCCAATAAAAGCCAAGGACTCCCTCAACCCCAACTCCTACCCCCATATGATTAAGTGCAAACTTTATACACACATACATTATCATAACTCTTAAAAAGAGTTTTACTATTGACTGTATTATTGAGATTTTATTAATGTAATTTTTTTTCGCAACCTCAGCACAGAATAAATTGTGAGGACCCCTTTAGGGGATCGTGGACCCCAGGGTAGGAAAGCTTCCAGTGCATAGCACACAAGTGTGCTAATAACTGCAGAATTGGAATAGTGAGCATTGCGTCATCAACCTGCACCACTGCATCTTATCTCTGCGACTTCTTAAAGAGCAAGTCACCCACTACCAGATTCTTACTCAACTCCCACTTCCTGTTTGAAAAATGCAACAAATGCTGTTGCCTAGCAGACCGAGAGGGCGGAGCCGCTAACAAATACACATACACTCAGTGAGCACAATGACACTGTGACATCATATGGTACCAGCTAACGTTCTATGGTACCTCTTAGCCAATAGCGATGGCAGATTTAAATTCAAATGCAGTGCAGAGGTTTTACCTGACAACGGCACAACACTGACAGTTTTTGGCAGAACATTAAAATTTTAACTAAAATGCACTAAAGTGTAAAACTATTGACTACACGTGTCTGCAGCACGATTAGACACGCATTTATATAGTTTATCAGAAATAAAAAGTTGCTTTGGGGGTGACTTGCTCTTTAAATGAGGATGCTGGTCTCTGTTTGTTCTACTTTGCTGCTTGAATTTATATTATAACAAGTGCTTAAATTACTGGCATGTCTGGTACCATTATCAGTTAACAATACTTTTTAACATAGAAACACTTTTTAATCATATATGTACATAATAATAAAATATGCAATTTTTGAAACTTAAACTTAAAAATACATATTTTCAGAAAGAGCACTTGAACAATTCTCCCACCTGCATCTCAAGTATCTCACACAGCATTAGATTGTGGGTAGTACCCTTCGGCAAAGTGTGAATCAAGGGCAAAAAGGGGCTCACACTTGAGAATTGGGACACTCTACCCTATTTAACTGTAAAGAAATAGTTTCAGAGCTTGGTCCACATTGCCGCCAGTAAGTTGGGCTCGTTCCCAGTGAGAGTTGGACTCCGCCAAAGGCTGCCCTTTGTCACCGATTCTGTTCATAACCTTTATGGACAGGATTTCTAGGCACAGCCAAGGTGTGGAGGGTATCTCTTTTGGTGGCCTGAGGATCAGGTCTCTGCTTTTTGCAGATGATGTGGTCCTGTTGGCTTCATCAGAACGTGATCTTCAGCTTTCACTGGAGCGGTTCGCAGTCGAGTGTGAAGCAGCTGGGATGAGAATCAGCTCCTCTAAATCTGAGACCGTGGTCTTGATTCGGAAAAGGGTAGAATGCCTTCTCTGGGTCAGGAATGAGGTCCTGCCCCAAGTGGAGGAGTTTAAGTACCTCGGGGTCTTGTTCACGAGTGAGGGAAAACTGGAGCGTGAGATTGATAGGCGGATTGGTGCTGCATCTGCAGTGATGCAGGCGTTGTACCGGTCTGTTGTGGTGAAGAGAGAGCTGAGTCAGAAGGCGAAGCTCTCGATTTACCGGTCGATCTACGTTCCTACCCTCATCTATGGTCATGAGCTTTGGGTAGTGACCGAAAGAACGAGATCGCGGATACAAGCGGCCGAAATGAGTTTTCTCCGCAGAGTGGCTGGGCTGTCCCTTAGAGATAGGGTGAGAAGCTCGGTCATTCGGGAGGGGTTCGGAGTAGACCCGCTGCTCCTCCACACCGAGAGGAGCCAGTTGAGGTGGCTTGGGCATCTGGTCAGGATGCCTCCTGGATGCCTCCCTGGTGAGGTTTTCCGGGCACGTCCAACCGGGAGGAGGCCTAAAGGTAGACCCAGGACACGCTGGAGGGACTATGTCTCTCACCTGGCCAGGGAACGCCTTGGGATTCCCCCGGAGGAGCTGGCCCAAGTGGCTGGGGAGAGGGAAGTCTCGGCCTTTTGCCTTAGGATACTGCCCCCGCGACCCGACTCCTGATAAGCGGGCAGACGGACGGACGGATGGAGAAATAGTTTTTTATCCAGCCCTACCATGACATCCGACTCCTGTTTGGCATAACGGAGATCTGGGTCCAGCCAGAACATGACAGTCTTCACTTGGTCCCAGTTCAGGAAAATGAGGAAGACAAGGAAAAGGAAGTAGAGCACACTGAGACCTGCCAAAGATGAGCAAGAATTAAAATGAACACCATCCGAATGTAAAGAGATCATTCCAAATGATCTACACACTCACCAAACACCATTCGCCATAATGCAGGATGTGGCCTTGTGAACGGTCCTGACAATGAAAGCATCTCTTAGACAGCTCTGTTAGAGCAGCAGATTTTTTCGAAAACATTAAAATTATTGCCTTTAAGTATTTTAAATTTTAGCACGTGATAACAATATAACAACTATTCAGTTAAAGTTGTTTTGTTTTCAATACAACAGCTTTTCAATAAGTTTTTAAATATAAGAATTTTGTAAAAATACTGAGTTATTGATCACAGTGGTCACATAAAAGTATTTTCCTCAACAACTCTGTTCACCTTCAGATGAATTCATTCACATTCTTTGGTTCTACATCTTGCGTTAGGCCGTTTTCCTGCTTGGAGGCATAACGACGGAGACCAGGTATCTAGCATAACAAAGTCTTGTTGGCTCTTGTTGGCTATAGGGCGAACAAATATCACCTTCTAGAGCGTTTTCATTCTGGTAAGTTACAGATGGTGTGCGTTTTTTATGCATCGTTTCTTTCCTTCAACCACGACATGCACACAAAACTCACACACACACACACAGGCTACACTCACAAACCGGTGAGCCAATGCGGGTGTGCTGACACACCACAACTTCTCTTGCTACACTTCTTCTGTTGGATGACAATATTGATTGCTTTACTAGAAAAACCAACAAATAAAACGTTTACCTCTCATCCGGATGTTTACATCCACTCACACCACAAATAAGAAAGCCGAAAATGTCCGTTATGCAAAACTGCGGCAGCAACAATCATCGGTGCTTCGGTCTTGGGTCTTTCATATGGATAAAAACCATTTATAACACTAATTTTGTCCACATACCGGTCCTCATCGTCTTTATATAACACATTCCATATCCTTTCTGGGATTTTATAATGTTTAACACTTTCTTTTACCCAAATCTGCTTCTTCTCTGCGACAGTACCGTGTTTGTTTACACTCGTTAATCTTCCAGCATGGCCGCACACATCCCAGAAGGCTATACGTAATCACGGATCACAAGCCCTATACAGTGGGGTCCAAGCTTCCTATTAGGGTTGCACCAGCCCACCCTGGACCCACCCTAGAACCACCCCTGGATTGTACATCGAATGTTAATATGTAAAATAAGATATCAGAAGAAGCCAAAACTGTCTTGTTCTGTATATTCAAAGCTATGTACCCCATTTTCTTTCTTATGATAATAAAAAGTCTAAATTATTTTGATTTAGGAGGTGGGTGGATCTTAGTTAGAAAAATGATGCATTTTACTAATATTTTAAATTTTGTGTACATAACTCATTTGTATGTATAACTCACCATTAGGGAAAGCCAGGACACTGATGACCAAAAAGAAGGAGATGACCACCAAAAGACCAACATGAAGATTATTATCCGAGTTCACATCATCCCTGTTCAGAATACAGGTTTTAGTGTGTGTGTGTGTGTGTGTGTGTGTGTGTGTGTGTGTGTGTGTGTGTGTTTAGCTTACCTGGTGAACATAAAGTACATCAGACTGAGTACAGTAGCTATCAGAAGGGTGATCGTGTGCGGCTTGTAGAAGAAATCAAGACAGATATCTTCCACTTGTTGCTCATTTATCATTCGAAAATGTAGTTTATAGTTAACGTTGTTATTTCTCGGTAAATGTGAACCGACGGTGGCCACCATGATGTTGCAACTCTGAGAACTTCAACAAAACTAGTTTTTACTGGGAAAACAAGTTAAAGATGTTGCAAATATGCCAGCTTCCACCATAGACAAGTATATATAAACACTAGATGGGGATGCGACGTAGGAACGTGGCGGCCATCTTACCTCAGACAGCTGCCCCTTTCTTGGCAGTGGGGTGTATGGTGCATGTACTATTTAAATAATTCTAACTTGCTCAATTTTCAACCGATTTTCTAATGGTTTGATTTGTTATAAACGCCAGAGATGTCTCTATGAAATAGGATGAGTTTGGCCCAGAAATTCTTGTTATTTCACTCCACAAAGCATTTAATCTTTCAAAGATAACACAATTGTAAGCTACAGTAACTTTAAGTATACATAGCCTATTATTATATTATATAGATCTATCTATATCTATATATTCCTGGTTTGTGAAATAAGATTTGTGTAGAGATGAGATTTCAAGGTTCTTTTGAGGTAAAGCCCACATTAACAGAACACAGATACAAAATGTGCACCCCAACAAATAAGACAAACAATACCCAAATCCCATCCATCAGCCAGAACCGGCCCACCATCAATAAAATTTAACCCAGCAAATGATTTTGTATTTTCACTGTTTCTTAACTTTTCTTTTCTTATTTATGGACTTTCATTTATTAATTATAAGCTCTCTGGAAATGCTTTCTGAGAAAGTTAGGAAATAATCAAAAGATAGATTAGGTTAGTATGATAGATGGATAATGGATTGATCTTGTGAAGGAGATTTTCAAACATTCATAATACCAGATAAACAATGTATAGAAGACGGTAGTAGCAGCAATGGAACAGCAGTTTCAAATTATTTTATTTACATAAAAACAACAGACTTGATAATGTACAAGTATAGGTTTTCTTTGCAACAGTTGTGAAAGGTGATCCCATGTTGTCTCTGTTTGTCACAGCGGCAATTTGAGCATCCGTAGGCTGCACAAAGTCAGGCAAGTTGACCCTCAAGCTTCACAATTATTAAAAGTTGGGTTTCTGCAAACACAAATCCAGAAATGTCCTGTTTTAATATATCCCAATATAAGTTTTGTGTAACAAACCAAGACGCTTAAAAATCACGGGCAATTTAGCATTAATTTATTTAAAATAAAATGAGCGACTCCCACTGAGGTAGTCAACTTTGTTTTGCTAAGCAGTGCACTCACCGTAGCCTCGTCATCTCTAAGCCAAATTAGACAGGTAATAAATACAGAAACATCACCAAACACAGCCATTTAGACAACAATTGGACTGTCATAAAGTCGTTATTGGTTTTAAAATATCGATTGTGGTCTCAACCATTTATAACATGCAGATAGCCTAGGCGGGACACATGGTTCACAATTATCACTTTCAAAAGCAAAAGCGTTACTTTCAACAAGTGCAAGTATGTTGGCTCAAGCCCATGTGTACTAAGGTTTGAAATAAGGCAAACCGCTTGTAAATCCGTTAATATTTCATTGAGTTAAGCGTGTTTTGGTTGAAGTCGATTCAGCTGCGACCATTGAGAGCGGAGGGGTCTGTTGTCTGAGGTAAGATGGCCGCCGTTTAGCTACGCCCTCGACTCCCTCTTTCGCCATCTAGTGCGTATATACTACATATCTATGGCTTCCACCCCACACAGGAACCCTCGTAACGGACCAAACCACTGTGGTGTGGGGTTGTTTGAATTTTAACTTAGCTATTTTAGCTATTGCAAAAGCAAATTAACGAACAATTGTAATTTTACTTATTTAGAATATAATTATAGAAGCTAATCTATTTAAAATGTTTGCCAAATGTTTTTTAATGCAAACATTTTTGTCACTCAATGGTTACGCCTTTGTGGTACCTGCCTGAGTGACGTTTATCGTGGAGTGCTTCTGTTAACATACACGTGAAAACTAACATTTCTCTACGTTTTGAGACGCAAAGAGCCAGAATTTAAAGAGCTGTGTGTAAGAAACTTCGATTTTTTTTACATTATTGGTTTGTTTATGTATTCGACGTGATAGCGTGTATGTGTTGTGCTAGCATGCTAGTTTCGAGCTAGCTTGAAGGACAACATTCCTGTTTAGCTAGCTCACCCGAAGTGACCAGCCATTGATTATTGCTAAATACGCGTTATAAGGAACGTAAAAAAAACAAAAAAAAAAAAAAAAACAGCATTAAGCCACTTCATTGTTAGGGCTTGCACAAATTGCTTTATATTTTTTACCAAAAATGACCATTTATTCTGATTAGTATTGTTTAGCAGCCTGTAAACCCACGATTTGCATCAATGTCGTGGATGCAAACTCAACACTCATGTATCATATTTTGCCAATTCTCCCTAAAAACGTTGACATTGCAAAAATATAGCATGAGATTGTATGTAGATAGATGATTTAGAACGTAGCACTAGCATGAATGTTAGTTCATTATTCCAGATTAACATAACCTACTGCCACTTGTGTAATCAATATGTGACGTGCATAACATCACACCTTTGTTCAGACGAAATGTTTTTGTAAACATGTCGTATTCATTTGTTGCAGAATGACTATGTCTACCAGTGCAAAGCTGTGTCTGCGATGGAGAGGACTTCTATTCTCTAAGACCAGCACACGACTGCAATGCTTTCAAGTTCAGCGTTGTAATAGTGCAGCAAGCTCAGCATCAATCAGCAGTGGATTATTCCTTAATCATAATCTCACAACAACTCATACAAGAATTAAGATAAAACATCAGAAATGCTGTTATAATAACTTGACATCAAAGCATTTGACAACAGAGGCAAAGGAAGACAAATATAAAGACTTGTCAAGAACTGATGTTATTGAATACAAGCCTGCCCTGTCGCCAAGAACAGATGCTTTTTCAGTGTCTGAACATGTGATCTCCTTAGGTAGGTATTTAATGCAGCCATTTAAAACGTTGTTTATTGTACTGTCTGAATTTCTGTTTTCTGTAGACTTGGATGTGGCTGAAGAATATTCAGCTCTTGAGGAGATCAGTGATGAAGAAGCAGCTGGTATTTCTATACCCGCTAACATCCCACCAGCCTCAAACTCTCTTAGAGACTATGTTGATAAGTCGGAGACACTGACGAAGCTGGTGCAGCTAGGTAACAAACGTGATGATTTTCTGTTTTTACATCACTTCACCAGTTTCAAACAAAATTAGACAGATCTCATCATTGTGGTGTTTGCTGTCATCGCAGGGGTACATTTGTGGAAGCTAGAACAAAGGCCTAATGTTGGCTCCATGCTGCTGAGACTTGACTTCAACACAGATGTGGCACCTCGGCTGCTGTTTCTCAAGCAGATTGGAGTGGAGAACTCGCGCTTGGGCTACATCATCACTCACAACCCTTTTATTCTCACAGCAGATTTGGATAACCTTCAGGCCAGGTGACACGAAATGACATCTGTCACCCTGTGACAGGTTATTTGTTGCATTTGCTCCATGTTGTCTCTTCTTTTTTATAAAGGGTAAATTATCTCAAGTCAAAGAAGTTTAGTTCAGAGACTGTTGCATCGATGGTGTCCAGAGCTCCATTCCTGCTCAGCTTCAGTGTGAAGAGGCTGGACAACAGGCTGGGTTTTTACCAGCAGCAGCTCAAGCTCAGTGCTTCTAACGTAGGAGCTTTTTAATGACTTCAGATGAAATTCTCTCTCTGAGCAACTTAGTTTGTACTAATATTTATAAATATGTTTAAAATATCTTTGCAGACAAGAGACATCGTAGCTCGTCTTCCCAGATTGCTGTGTGGCAGCTTGGAGCCTGTTAAAGAAAATTTAAAGGTAATAAAATAATTATGAAATACAACGAAGCCTCTGAATTATCAGTCCTAGTGCTTGAGTGTCATACCTGCATGTTTCTATGATTCCCTGCATCGACACCTGGTTTCAATCAATGGGAGGTTAAAGGTGAGGTTCTCTGAGAACCGTGTAATACCTGTTCTTTTTGCAGGCTAAACGTGGAAATAGGCTTTTACCTCCATTTCCCGCATTAGCCGCAGGAAAACAAAGACAGGGAAACTGTTGGGCCAGACAAAGCCGCACAGATCTTCATCACACGGTGAATTAGAATTCATGGACTCACCCAAAGGATTTTGTTGATTTAGTGTCCAGGAGAGGGCAGAGCGTGTCTCGGCTAGTAGAAGCTAACCGTTAGCATTAGCAACTCCACCGCATAGCAGAACTCCTGAGAAAAAACACCCAACGTTGCAGAGCAAACGAGGTCAGTGGTAGAGCTGCATTGCCGTTAGCCAATCAGAGACGAGATTTTTGAATATTGATGAGTAAATATCCTGCCATTTTCCACCCCCTCTCCTCTGACTCATTTCTACTTATGGCAACAGAGCTTTTTTTTTTTTCTTTACAGAGAATGCCTCACGAGGCATTCATTTGTATTAAAGACCACAGCAGATGAGTATCTGCCCTCTTTAACATGCTTCTGAAGAACTTGAAATGCTGAAAAAATGAGGAAACCGTTCAATCATATGTTTTGGAGCAGGGAAACAGCTAAAACATGCAGGACCAGAACTGAAAACCCCTCCTCTACCTAAATGTGTTCATACGTTCCACAGGTGTGTGAAATTGAGCTTGGATTCAAGCAAAACGAGATCCAGCACATGGTGATCGCTGTTCCCAAGGTGTTGACGGCCAATAAAAAGAAACTAACGCAGATATTTGACTACCTTCACAACACCATGAAGGTTCCACATCACCTGATCACAAAGTTCCCACAGGTAAGTCCTTTCTGTTCTGAAGATATTTCATTTGCATTTTGTCAGAGTTCTAAATCACCTGTGTGATGTCTTCATAGGTCCTCAACACTAAGTTCTTGCGTCTCAGAGAGCGCCACCTGTTCCTTGAGTATCTTGAAAAAGCCCAGTATGACCCCACGCTGGCCCGCTACATCTCCCTGGACCGATTAGTGTCCCTGCCAGATGAAACGTTTTGCACTGAGCTGGCTTTGGCCACTTTGGATGACTTTTATTTGTTCCAAAAAACTCTTTGAGTCTTCATGATGGGAGATTTAAAGAGATGTCAGCAGTATAGTATAAATGGGGGAAAGGCCTGATTTGTTTATCTGTTAACGTTGGAACATGCAGAGCTTGAAATAAATGTTTAATGACATAACAACTTTAAGTTGTACCTGAATCATTTGCATACATTGTAAAAATAACAGTTTCACATTCAGTTCACTCAGTTTAGGGGTCACAGTATTGGTAAAAGAAGTGATTCACCCGTTTAATGGACAAATGTAGCTATTTCAGTTGCATTGCCATGTAAAGTTGGCCTGGCCAGTCATGCCAGTGCTTCCTTATGAGAAGCAAAGTATAGAATAGACAAGAGGGCGAGTCTGGCAGGCCAGGCGAATGTAAAGTAGCATTTTCAAGTTTCTGCAGACTGAAAAATAGCTTGAACAGCAAGATTTGTTATGCTGTGTACTTCAACACATAAAACGTATTACATATAAATAAAAATGCATTTGTGTGAATTAGCAGTAGTAAAAATGTATCCTATTTTTGCTAAAAGCAAGGCAAGGCAGCTTTATTTTTAGAACACATTTCAAACACAGGCAATTCAGTGTGCTTTACAATCATCAGGACATGATATGAAAACACAAATTAAAATACACATTTATACAATTACAGTTTAGAGCTAACGGAGAAGACAGTTACAGCGCAGGTGACAGTGGGGACGACGCATGATAAGCAATTCATTTCAAGGTTGGTGAGTACATTAGAGGTTTTTAGTTGTGCTTTAAACAACACTAGGGTTAAGGCACGTCTGAGGTCATGGGGACGCTGATTCCATATGTGAGCAGCATAGTGACTAAATGCATCTCCACCATGTTTTGTTCTGACCCGAGGTTCTACCCGCTGATTGTTTCCAAGGGATCTCAGAGGCCTATTGGGTGTAGATACACAGGAATGAGACCGGACGTGTATTTTGGTCCCATGCCACTAAGTGATTTATAAACTAGTAGGAGCACTTTGAAATCTATTCTGTGGTTTACTGGTAACCAGTGTAGGGATCTAAGAACAGGAGTGATGTGCTCCGTTCTCTTAGTTCTTGTTAAGACTCTTGCAGCGGCATTCTGAACAAGCTACCGTTACTTCACAGCTTTTTTGGAAAGACGAGTTAGGAGACCATTGCAGTTGTCCAGCCGACTAGAAATAAAAGCATGAATAAGTTGTCTGGTCTGGATATGAATCCTCTGACTCTTGATATTTGATGAAGGTGATAAAATGCTAATTTAGTTAGCCTTAATATGTGCAGAGAAAAACCTGTCTACTAAGTCATGTTTTCTTTGGAAATCTATACATTAATTATGTATAACCTTTGAGGCTACAATGCCAAAGTAAATTTACAGGTATTTGTAGTATAGTGCAGCTTGTTGAAAAACAGGGTTGCAAAATATACATTATTTACGTTCCAGGAGCTTGAAAATTGTGTTTAAAGTAATTTCTGACCTGCATATCCTTAAAAGTATAAATATTGTAACTTAAAATACTACAGTTTGGTTTTAGAAAGTTCAAAATAGCGTTTTTGTGTTACCGTAATACCTTTAATATTTTGTTACGTAAATCTTAAGTTGAGCATTATTTACCCATAAGGCACTGCGGTCAGTCTCAGCGATAAACATGGCGTCCAGAGCACCGGGTAAGAGGATATTTTTCTCACTTTTACGTCTTTTCTAACCTTATAAACATCGTGCCTTACAGTTGTTAAGAAGCGTTTGTAACATTTTGAACAACGAACTCTGATGTTTTTGTTTTCTCTGCCTGATTGTGTCGTTGTGGGGCGTTTAAGTTGTGTTTGTCCTCTAATGTCCCTGTGCTAACAGATGCTAACTCGTTAGCTAAGGTTAGCTAGTAGTGGTGCAAATGCCAAAAAAAAAAGTAATTTCTTTACATTTTTGGACAGCCGCACAATTCGATTACCGAATGAATGTGTTTGCTGCTAGCTTTATGTTTATGTTTTAGAGAACATTTTATACTTATCAGTTAAGCTAGCATTCTTTATTTAACCAGGAAGGTCCATTTAAGTTTAAACGCCTCATTTTTAAAGGAACATGTTTGTCGGTGTAGTTGTAAATGTATGCTGTAAATTGTCAATATATGTTTAATATAATAATCAAAAATATTCAAAGTATTAGAGTAATACTTTTAAAGGCACAATTTAAAGGTTTATAATGAAGAAACCCTGCCTCATCTTCTGTAATTACCAAGTAACTTCAGTCAGCTCCCCTATAGCCTGACTCTGCTGCCTGATCCTAGATATTTATTTTAGTTTCAGTGTTTCTAAGCATTTATTTGTGTTTTTGTTTTGGCTGACTCTTATTTAATTTAATTTTTTGTGTTATATTTTCAGCTGCAACAGGCAGGCTTTTGCACGGTTTGCACAAATGGTATTACAACCTATGTGGATTCAACAAGATTGGTACGTCAAGTCGTATTTGTTATGTAAGAATTAAAAACATGATGTAAAATATTGTTAAAAATGCAGGAAATAAGTGTTTGTGTCAAAACAGGAGATCATAGATGGGAGTGATTAAAACTCATGCATACACAGGTATATTAAAGGTAAACAAACCTGTCAACCAGGTAAAGATAACAGTAGAAACACAAAGATTGAAGCACCAATAGATGTAAACGTTTAAAGAATGACGAAGCACAAAAATCAACAATATATTGGACACAATGGTACCTCTTGTGTAACTATGATAGCTTTTCTTTAGGTTGTTTACTGGCTAATAATTCAGTCAAGTTCATAATAGTTACTTCGACCAGATTACTAGAGGATTCATCTAAAACCTGAAGTCAAGAAATGGCTGATAGATTGTGGTAGATTATTTGTGTTGTTTGATGTTGGAATCAGTCAGTTTTTATGTTTAGATATCAAAAAGGCAAAAATTTTCAGTCCAGATTTAGTTTTCCACCTTTGCTTTTCACTCACTTCATAGCAATTCTGTTTTTTCTTGCAGGCTTGATGCGCGATGACACGCTATACGAGGATGCCGATGTGAAAGAAGCTGTGAGGAGGCTTCCAGAAAAAGTCTATAATGACAGGATGTTCAGGGTGAAGAGAGCCATTGACCTCACCATGAAACAACAGATTCTCCCAAAGGACCAGTGGACAAAATACGAGGAGGTATAAAACAAAATAATGATCAATGTTTCAATACAAATGTTTATTTTCTCAGTGGAAACTGCTAAATCTGTACAACCTACTTCCCTCCCTCCCTTCCAGGATGTCCATTACCTGATACCATACCTGGAAGAGGTGATCCGCGAGAGGAAAGAAAAAGAAGAATGGCTGAAGAAATAAAACCGTTCTTTGTCGTGGTCCTTAATCTTGTCTTTCACTAGCGCTTGATCCTCCCCCTGGTGTCAAACTTTAAAATTAAATGTGACCTATATTAAAACAGTGCTCAATAAAGAAATGTACATTTTGAAAAGCCGAAGCCTGTTTGTAAATGTCGTTTATTGGTGCAACACAATGAAAAATATCTTTTGTTAAAACAGAATCTGTCATTTACAGGTCACGGTATATTTATTATTAATTTTAATTCAATTCAAAAATACTTTATTAATCCCAGAGGGAAATAGATTGCTGTAGAAGCTCAGAATAATAATAATAATCAAGCCATCAAAGAGTTGTTGTATATTACAATGGCTGTTGCTAGGAAGGATCTCCAGTAGCGGTCAGTGTTGCAGCGAAACTGAAGAAGCCTCTGACTGAAGACACTCTTCCGTTGTCGGACAGTCTTGTGAAGAGAATGCTCAGGGTTGTCCATCATTTTCTTGATTCTCTGGAGAATCCTTTGCATTATCTCCTCCAGTGGTTCCGAAACTCTGGCCGAGTCCTTGAAAGGGCTTGGAGTTCCTCCATCTTGTTGGCCAGTGATCTCACATTGCCCATTATGATCAATGGAAGAGATGGTTTGAATTTCCTCTTTCTCTGTCTCCGTTTTGCTCCCGCTCTGCACCCACGCTTCTTGCATTGTAGCTCATTTGGGATTTGTGGCTTCAGTTGAGGTATTATTTCAGCCTTTCCTGTGTTAATCAGCTGCTCCCGATTGTAAACCAGCTTGTTGCCATGGTTACGCATCATAGCAAATGCTCAAAAAGTGAAAAAAGCTAAAAAAAATTTGCTGTAAAAATCCTCCAAGCTTCACAGCACCAGAAACAGAAAAGTAAAGTGTCCAAAAATATACAGTTTTTCTCGATAAACTAGAAGAAAAAATGCCCAAGAAAAGGCAAAACTTACATATAGTCAACAGAGCTACTCCAACATGCAGCCACCCAGAGCAGCGCAGTTCCGGAAAGAAGATTTATTACGTTTGTTTACATTCTCAGTCATCCAGGGTATGGTAATCTTGAAGGTTTAGGTGGAAACAACCAGGCGAAACGTCTTCAAGGAAAGCAAGAGAAGTCTGGATGATTCCAACTAAACCTGATTAATCTGCACTCAGACAACAGGAGGAACATGGAACATGATTAATTAGTGACATGGCTTCAGCTTATTAGATTTATGTGCAGTGTTGGCCCTTGATTCGACAGAAGACCTAAAATGTGTACAAAAACCACGTCCTCGTCTTCTGCTCACCAGAAAATGTCATCAGTTATGCCGTTGAGTCTGTGACCTCCTGTTGTCCACATCTGTTACGGTGTTTATGAAGTTTCCAATGACAACGTTAAAAGATTTCAACAAGGAAACCCCGAGTTCATTGCTGGTTTCATTGATGTCTGGATCATAGGTCCCCATCAGGGGGGTGCACACCTCCACCGTGCCTCTGTCGGCTCCCTCTAGGATGGCCAGCAGCTGCCTCTTGATCTCCTGAAACAGGTCTCTGTTGTAGTTCAGCAAGACAGAGTCCTCCAGAGGATAAGCCGTGTCCTCGGAGTAGCACTCGCGGGGTATGGGTATCTCCACATACCTTAAATTAGGAAACCCTGTTGCTAGTGTGGAGAATAACCTCTGCAGGGCGCTGGAGGTGAGAGGGTTCCCCAGGAGTTTCAGCTCCTCCAGCTCCTGACAGGGAGACAGGGCACTGAGGAAAGCGGACATGTGTTCATCTTTGATGTCGCACTCCTCGAGGGTGAGGTTCGTGAGGGTCGCCGAGCAGCGGTTCAGCAGTTTGTGGAAGGCAGTGGAGAACGAGCCAAAGATGTCGTGTCCGCTGATGTCCAGCTGGACCAGGTTCTCGCTGTGGAGGCTGTTGGACAGGTAGGTCATGTCCACGCGGTTCAGGCAGCAGTTGGCCAGCTCCAGGCGCTGCAGTGGAGTGGTGAGTGGACTAGATAAAGCAAACAAATCAGATGTAATTAGTAGGGATGTTAAGAAAATATCAATGTGACAATATATTAGGGCAGGGCGATAAATGGAAAATGTATCGTTGTCGAAATTTGTGACTCTTATTGATCATTTTTCCCACGTCAATAAATTTGACAATAAAAAATCTAAAGATGTGTGTATGTTGGCAATGTTACTGTCCCTTTAAGAAGAGTCATGTAGAAATGTGACTAAAAGTAATAGATGTGACAGCCCCATCTAGTGGACAAGTTTTGTCTACGCATGCCTGTGGTTATCGTCCATTTATCGTTATCAAGGCGAAATCCTCAATATGTCGTGATATTGTTTTTAGGCCATATCGCCCAGCCCTACGGTATATCGTGACATTTTTGATATTACATCGATATTCAAAAGCCAGAGAGAATTTACATGCAAACATTTATGTATTTTCTTTTCTTTTAATGCAATTCAAACGCCGACCACTAGTCGGCAGCAGTGTGCAATGGGTTTTGTTTCCACCATTGAAATTTAAATCCCTTACGCCGGGGACACACCGGCCGCCGAAGCGCCGCGAAAAGGGGACCACCTTCATTCGGCGCCCTTGTTATCCTATTCTATAGACCACATGGGCCGCCAAAGTTCTGCAAAACGCCGCGCTCCAGCCCACGCCGTGCAGCGATCGTTTCGCCCATGCTCAATTTTTTTCGCGAGCCGCGGGTGGACCGCGTCGATTCTGGCAGGAAGTTAAACCTAGACATGAGAGGCAGGCCGGTAAATTTAACAAAATAAAGCATTTCAAAATACAATTCTGCAGTAGTCAAATGTGTTCGTAAACAGACACTGCATAAAAACCACACGAACACACACAGCGAACTTGTGTGTGTGACCACGTGAAGGGGGTGTGGTTTTGGGTGTCTTTCAACCGGAGCAAACAGGACAGAGAGGCAGAAAGTCGTAGGCCAGCTATAACTGGTTCACACCATAGGTTCACACACACACACACATACAAACACACACACAAACAGCAAGGGGGAGAGGGGTGTCGAGGAAAAGAGCAGAGAAAAGATGGAGAGGAAATGGAGGACGCAAAATGGTTAAAAGAAAAACTACGAGGCGCGCCTCGACCGGAGCGGAAAAACAAGCGTCTGGTCTGAACTGAGGAGCAGCGGCCGAATTTCGTGAGCGCTTCGCCTCCCGGCGCTTCGGCGGCCGGTGTCCCCCCGGCCTTATGGTTCAGAAACCTCGTTTTAAACGTGTTAAGTATCAGTTTGGACTGTTTATTGAAAAAAAAATCCCTAATAACGTCTGACTCAACATATTGTGATACATCGTATCGTCTCCCCTGTATCGTGATATGTATTGTATTGCCAGAATTTCACCAATCCCTAGTAATTAGACAACTGGGGCGACAGTGGCACAGGAGTTAAGTGCTCGCCTCGCAATCGGAAGGTCGCAGGTTCGAGACCCGCTCAGTCTGTCGCTGTCGTTGTGTCCTTGGGCAAGACACTTAACCCACGTTGCCTGCTGGTGGTGGTCGGAGGGACCGGTGGCGCCAGTGCTCGGCAGCCTCGCCTCTGTCAGTGCGCCCCAGGGCAGCTGTGGCTACATTGTAGCTCATCCCCACCAGTGTGTGTGAATGGGTGAATGACTGATTGTGTTGTAAAGCGCCTTGGGGGGTTCCAGGACTCTAGAAGGCGCTATATCAAATACAGGCCATTTACCATTTACCATAACTTTTAAAAGCATCTATGTGGCTTTTATTCCAAAACTGGTTAAAAAAATCAATCTGATGTGAAACTTATTTACAAACTTCAACTGTTGAAATAATCTCTCGGCTTTTGCTCCGTTTCCATTTGAAGTGTTAAGAATACCCATCAAGCATCTGGCTCCTCACTGGAGAGGAGTCAACAGCCTTAACAATCAAATTCCTTCCCTTGTCGAACACGAGGAGGATCTCACGACACTCGTCCCGGTCAAAGTCTACATGCGGTGTAAACATCAGAGCCATCATCTTGTCGCCAGCTGTTGATGTACTCACTATAGCAGTCTTCGAAGATGTCCAGTGAGCATTGAGAACCCCACGTAAAGCTCAGAGAGGCTTTTGAGTTGTCCCAGTAGGTTGCCAAGAGTTGCCAGAAGATCTTCCTCATCAGATCCGAGCTTCCTTATGTCCAATGCTCCGGCTGGCAGAGTTAGAGACTTTAGCTTTGGGAAGTCCACTTTGGACAGCAGCACCTCCAGGTGAAAGGCCTCAAGGGGAACATTGTGGACCACCTCCAGCTTTGTGATAGCCTCCGGCTCAGCTAGGCGAAGGACGTAGAAGAGTTGCTTGAGACTGAGGGAATCGGCTCTAAAACCAACAAAGTGAAGCTTTAGGGGGCAGCAGCGGAGCAGCAGGAAGGCCTGAGCCACCGGATCGTAGTTGCGACCCGTGACGAAGCCATTCAGACGGATGTCGATGGATGTTTCAAAGGCAGACTGGGTCACATCGCTGGCCTGCATGGCCACCATTGTTTCGTAGCACATCTGGGTCAGGAGCAGAGTTCGAGCCCATCGTCCCAAAGTGGACTTGCATGGGCAAGTTTGATGCTCAATGTCTTTGAGGGCAGTCAGGTCCACGACGTGTAGATTCTTGGCATAAGTTCTTGGAGGAGATAACACGTAGTCCTTAAAGAAAGGGCATCATTTGTATTTGTTATCTAGTTAACCAAGCAATAAAGAATCATTACAAATCACACAAGGGTCAGAGCCATTTAGGCACCTTTAGACCTGTGAGGACTGCCTGGAGACAGAGTCGACAGGTGCAGGAGGTCAGGTCCACCTGACAGTCGATGGTCTTTCCCAGAAGTCTTTGAAGGTTGAGCTCTGAAAGAGGCCACGTCTGGACCAAGGCATGCAGGAGTTCAGCCTTCTCGTGGAGATAGCAGGCCTTGAAGAGGAGTGGGTAGAGATTAAAAGACACACAGCTGAGGTTCCTTAAAGCGCTCGGACCAGTCTGGATGAAGGCCTCAGCTGCCAGGAAGCGCAGAGACTTCATGTTCTGCCGCCTTTGCTCCATCAGCTTTTGAGGTTGTGCTTTTCTCGGACCGGGCAGAAGCAGGACGGGGGTGGGGAGGTGTTGTGATAGTTAGGAGAGCTGAGCTTATTTATAGAAGCAGCTGTGTCATGTCCTTCGATGGGACACGGTGTCTGTTTAGGACTTTGTACCGCTGAGATGGGCAGCTTTACACTTCAGGGAGGTTTATTGGTAACGCTTTACAATAAGGGTGCCTTTATTAGCGTTACACAGTGTATTAAGCATTAATAAAAGCTCGCTTAATTAGCATTAACTATTAAGTGTCCTTAAGGTTGGGACAAAGGGAGGGGAGGGGGTGTCTGCTTAGTAATGCATGACGTAATATTGTTAACTTTAATAGTTTATTAATGCAGAAAGTAATGTTAATAAAGGGACCCTTATTGTACAGTTTTACCAGTTTATTATTATTCACAAGCTTGGTTTTAATATCTGGACCTGTATTACATTTGATAGACACGATTAATTAAACCATTTTCTATTTATAAATTCATAAATATTGCATTCAGTAAAATTGAAAAATAGATTTTTTGTAATTGATTTATTATAAAATAAACAAATCCGTTTTAAATTATTTATTGGTGTTTTTAAATCTATAGAATGTAAATAAGAAGTAAAAACTAAACATTTCATTTCCAAATAACAAAATAATATTATTTGCAGGATACTGAAATTCTTGCACAAACTTTCTTCAACAATAACAGGCAAAACTGATGCTTGAAGGGTTTTTTCACGTTTTTTTATTTGCAAATTTATTCCAATATTGCAGTTATGTGTAAACAACTTGTATACGCCGTCCATCTAGTATCAAATTGCAACTTTCCTTTATACTGAAATAGTGGCTGCCGTCCGCAACCATTTTCTCTATGTTACATAAATGTACATTTATCTGTTTGAATGCAACAGGCCAAGTCCACATCGGTCCTGTTAGCTCGCGCTGCTGACAGACTCTTTGACAGTAAGAGTTGGTGTGGATCCTATGTGGGTCCAGATGTAACCCTTTTCAGGACATATGGGGATGGTGGGGAATGGGGAGCTCTGAGACTTGAAATACTCCGATGGGGCGTGGCACACAAACTCCAAGTATTCCATCTTTCTGGGTAGATCCTCCTCTGGTCCTGATAAACATAATAAAGCGAAATAAGATAAATCACTCACAAAAAAAATCCTTTATTTAGCCACAGTTCTTACCGACGATGTACGTTCCAGGGTTAAATTGATCGCTCGAGCTGGCCTGAGTGGGAATGAGCCACGTCAGTGCTGCACTTTTCTCACAGTACTGGTCCTGCACAAATCCTCTGATCTGAGCGTAGTACGGCTTTCCATCCTCCTCATCTATCACTTTGATCACATCGCCCACCTGGTAGTAAACGCCCTGCAAATACAAACACAGGATGGAAGAAGAAAAGATTAAAGTATCATCATTACGATGCCTTTTAGTTTAATACGAATCAGAATCATACCTTATAAAATATAGATTCTGATGTGATGATTGTTGCTACGGATTCTGGTGCTTTGATAGGCTGCGAGGAAATAATTTGGATGAGGTCAAATAAAAGATATCAGAAATAAATACATTAAAGAAGCAGAAACTTACATTTTTGAGCTTGAAAATGTGTCTTCTTCCTTTTCCTTTTGTTGACACTTTTTTCTCAGAAGCAGGAGCTTTGTACTTGGTGCTTCTCAGCCGTGCAGACCTCCTGTGGATTTCCTGTTTGGACTACAAATGGACACATTTAAATATTTCTGCTCCTGATGGCATTTTTTCAGCAGAAAAAAAAACTATAAATCAGTTTATTTTAATTAAAAATATTAAACTAAATGGTAAAATTATTTTATTAAAAAAAAATGACCTGAAGTATTATTTTCAAACTATTTTATTCCAGTTTACTTTCTAGAAACATTTTCATGGCCACCAGGGGGCGCTGTTGTTACACCAAGACACTACTAAAGAAAAGCAAAAACAATGATGTTATAGTCATGTGTACGCTTTCTAAAAATTAACTAAAATAAGACATAAAAACTAACAATTCCTCATGAACTCTCGGATTTTGTTCGTGGCGTTTCTCTTCGGTGTTTCTGACCTGCTTGGCCCCGCCGTTGCTGGGCTGTGTGATGGTTGATATGGAGGAGGGTCCCGAAGCTCCCCCGCCGCCGCCGCTACTGCTGCTCTTCCCTGTGCAGTTGTTGCACAGTATTTCACCCTGGGTGCCTTTCTTCCACATTGAGGAAGAGTTCGTCTTACAGACAAAGCAGCACGGCTTCAAACCCAGAGGCATTTTACCGGCTAGAGAACGATGCCTCCGTACGTAAAAACGATCACAACAGAAACGCAGCTGCTTGGCTTATTACCAGATCACGACCGGATGTAGCTTTAGCATATTTCGCCAACGATTATCAAACAAAAATAACCGTAAAGACATCAAAAAGCGTTAAAACACAACGAAGTTAAAGCAGCATTATTTATGTACTGACTTGTTTCTACTTTCAGCGCGGAGGTTCTTCTTCAGCGTTTCCTTTGTTCTGAGGTCGGAAAACTATTGAAGTCAAGCGCCGCCTACTGGTGTGGAGGACTGCGTCGGGCGCTGGGCTGGGGCAGCTAAATGTGAGTCAGTATTTCCTTATTATCGTTGTTAAAATAGATATGAGTGCATGAACAACAACTTTGTGTTTTTTCAGGATTAAAATAATAAACTATTGATCACTAGTATCACTCATTCACATGTTTAAAAAGTTTGGATTGATATAGGAATTAACTTATTGAGTGCTGAAGCAGCGGCCTTCTTCTTCTTATCATTATTATTACAATGGGAGATAACCGTTTATTTGATTATTATCTGTTTAACAAAGTTGTTACTTTCCATGCCTTTGATTGTATCTTTTTCACTCTTTATTTTTACAGGTTTTTGCTGATTGAAAGACTGGCTTTCCCCACTAACAGACAAATAAAACGTCTTCTACTTTAAATTATTTAAATTATTAATATTTTTATTGTTAGTAGTAGCTAGTAGAAGTAGTAGAAGTAGTAGTAGTAGTAGTAGTAGTAGTAGTAGTAGTAGTAGTAGGAGGAGGAGGAGGAGGAGGAGGAGGAGGCAGAGTAGTAGTGGTGGTTGTTCCTGTTTTTTAATGTATTTCATATTTTTTACAGATTTCCTTAAAAGTTTTTAGAAAATTGGTATAATCCTTTGAGAAACTAAAATAATGTTAATTACTTTTGTTTACTTTTATAAACAATTCTGCAGTTTATTTTACTGTATTCTAACAAACACATTTTTACACTAGGACCTGTGATTCATGGAGAATAGAAACAAATGCAAACAAAATAAAAAGAGTTCCATTTCCTTTGCCTCACTATGGCAAAAATAATTATAGAGTTTATTCGAGATTATTCATTTGTATATTTAAGTATATTATATTAAATTGTATTATATTAAATATAATAGTTTTAAACAAGCTGAAAGTTGTTTCTCTCAAGCATGGTTCTGTTTTGACCGTTTCCCAAGAGCTGGTTGGAATGATTGTCAGGTACTTTTTTAAAATACAAATATAGTATCAGGGTAAAATTTAATTACTATTTATTAAATTTAATCTAAATATACAGTGTTGTTTGAAATAACATCTTTTGTGCTGGGTTATACTCCTGCTTTCCAGCGGGAGGCGCTGTTTCAACGTAAAGACCACCAAAGAAATTGAAGACGGCGAAGAAGAAAGGCGTCACTCTTCAAAACAAAACTTAAAGTTCAGTCATTCTTGTCCTTTGTCCAAACAGAAATGTCTCGAAACAACCCAAACAAAGACAGCCAGACGCCGGACGCCAAAAAGTCCATCTCTCTCCCGGTGTCCCGGGTCAGACTGATCATGAAGAGCTCTCCGGATGTCTCCAGCATCAACCAAGACGCGCTGTTCCTCACCACCAAGGCTACTGTAAGCTGCCCTTGATGCTAATGTGGTTGTGTTTCTATTAGCGGGGGGGTTAGCATAACTAGCTGGTGGTTGAACTAAAATCGTGTGAAGTTAAAATCGCTAAATATAGTTTTTAATCTGTTGTAAAGGAGCTGTTTGTGCAGCATCTGGCCCTGTCCTCCTTCAACAACGGCTCCGGGAAGGACAGCAACACCCTGGAATACAGCGACCTAGCTAAAACCACCGAGGAGAACGAGACCTTCCACTTCCTCACAGGCGAGTCTGGAGCTGAGCATCAGCGCGTCCTGAAGCCAGATTATTAGATACACTGGCCTTTATTGTATTTTAATGTTTTATTTATAAATAAGTGTTTTAATAAAGTCCCAGACACGAGGAAAATAGCAAAACGCCATTGGAAGCTAGCTTTTGGACCATTTAGGAAGATTTATTTTAGCTTTCCTACATTTTACTGCCAAAAATGAAAGATTGGAATGAAACAGAATCAAACCAATAAAAAAAAAACTTACAGATGAGAGAGAGAGCGATATGAATTTTCCACAAGAACTGTAAGCCGCTTACATTTATTTTAGCAACATGTAATTTTTGTGCCATTTGAACTTTATTTCTCAGAGAAAAGACCGATAATAAATAAAATTTATACTGAAAAACAGGTTTTTTTAATCTGACAGATATTTTGCCGAAGAAGATCTTGGCTCGAGATTACCTCAAGACTTTGGAGCAGATGCAAGAAGAAGAAGAAGAAGAAGCTGATCTTTGACATGAAAGCCACTTTCCCTGGTGTGTGTGTGTGTGTGTGTGTGTGTGTGTGTGTGTGTGTGTGTGTGTGTGTGTGTGTGTGTGTGTGTGTGTGTGTGTGTCAGAGGAGACACTTATGGACTTTAGAGCTTTTTAAACACACGGTCTTGGAGAAGGTGGAGCTTAAATTGCCTCAGAGCTCAACTCTGAGGAATTTAGACCAAATAATGGCAGTAAGCAAATAAGATATTTAACACTGGTTTAAAAGGCAGCACAGACCAATCAGTTCAGTTTAACATTTTAATTTTGGCTGAACACAGTCGGGGCTGTCTTTTAGGTGCTTCCACTTGGACCAGAAGTGAACCGTTACCTCCTAACAGACGTGACAGAAAACACGAGTGGATGAAAAACTTCATCCACCTGTAGAGAGGCGACGTGTTTAGATGAGAGACTGCGAAGCAGCGTTTGTGCCTCTCCAGATGTGAAATGCCACCTCAGCTTCACGTCATTTTCTTTGTTAAAATGTCTCAGAGGGAATCGTCAATGTGAATTTACTCGTGTGTTTAGATTTGATATTAAATAAAGATGAATGCTAAAATAAATGCCTCTCGTGTCAAGATCCGATGTTTTATACTTTTATGATGTTTCACAAGCATGTTGCAGGGGATTGTGGTTGATATTTAGTTAGCTGCTGCATGAATGGAACATGAATCGTCAGCGTCGGGTCAGCTTCGCGAGTCGAAGCTGAAAATGAAACAGATTCTTCTCTAAAGTAGAAAAGTGACTCTCCAGGCTGCTCGCCGTGCGCGCTCTCCGGTCGAGACCGTCCCTCGTGTTGGCGAGATGATCGTTCAGCCTAAAGAGGACGAAACGAGTAAATATGGATAAGTTTGTTTTTAATCAAACAAACACATTCAGTTAACGACCTCTGATGTCCAGACGATGACTCGGCTTGTTTTCTACTTTTAGATCCATCATGTAATAATCCAGATTTCACGTGTCTCGTTAAGGATTCATAACTAACCCCCACAGCTGACTCTGGATCAGTTTGTTCATGTAAAACAATCTGAACAGCTCATTTGCAAGAAATAGCAGATTTGTCTTTTTCAGCAGCCTGCTTAATCTCTTAATCTCACTCTTAAATTCTCAGTCTCACTATTTTAATCTCAATCTCACTATTTTAATCTCTCAGTATCACTCTTTCTTTCTTTCTCTCTCAATATCTCTCTTAATCTCTCAATCTCACTTTTAATCCCTCAGTTTCTCTGTGTCTCAGTATCCCAATCTCCCTCATAATCTCTCAATCTTTCTTAATCCTTCTCTCTCAATCTCTCTGTTATTCAGTTTCTCTCCCCCCCCCTCAATATCACTCTTAATCTCTCAATCTCACTTTTAATCCCTCAGTTTCTCTTTGTCTCAGTATCCCAATCTCCCTCATAATCTCTCAATCTCTCTTAATCCTTCTTTCTCAATCTCTCTGTTATTCAGTTTCTCTCCCCCCCCCCTCAATATCACTCTTAATCTCTCAATCTCACTTTTAATCCCTCAGTTTCTCTTTGTCTCAGTATCCCAATCTCCCTCATAATCTCTCAATCTCTCTCAATCCTTCTTTCTCTCAATCTCTCTGTTATTCAGTTTCTCCCCCCCCCCCCTCAATATCACTCTTAATCTCTCAATCTCACTTTTAATCCCTCAGTTTCTCTGTGTCTCAGTATCCCAATCTCCCTCATAATCTCTCAATCTTTCTTAATCCTTCTCTCTCAATCTCTCTGTTATTCAGTTTCTCCCCCCCCCCCTCAATATCACTCTTAATCTCTCAATCTCTCTTAATCCTTCTCTCTCAATCTCTGTTATTCAATTTCTCTCCCCCCCTCAATATCACTCTTAACCCCCTTCCCCCTCACTCTCACATCTCTTCTCTCAATATCTCTCCCTTTTAATTTCTCAGTTTTTCTTTGTCTTACAGTTTCTGTCCGTCTATCTTCTACAAATCCCATTGAATATTACAGATTACAGATGGACTTAATCATAAATAATCTTAATTCTGAAGCAAGAAGACTATGATAAAGTCCTCCAGTAGACCGATGAAGGCTACACGATGCACTTTCCTCATGACTTAATTTAAAAGTCACAACCACTCAAACATAAATCTGAGTGCAGGAGGCGAATCTTGTGTTGCAACAATAACTCATCAGTAGAAAATTTTCAGCACATTTTAGGTTCTGGATCGGACACATTTTTCTCACCTTGTCAGGACAACTTGCTCCTTCCCTTCTTTCCTTTTCTGCTGCAGAGAAACAAACACCGTCTCCATGGTCTGCACGGTTTCTCTGACCTTCTGGTGGTCCGAGAGGATCCCCTGGACTTCCTGTCTGGCCTGGTGGTTGTACGAAACCCCCGCGTCCCCCACTCCGCTCAAAGTGGACACGGCCTGCAGGGCGGCCCTGTTCTGCAGAGCCAGCAGACGGGACTTGGCAAACTCCTCCGGCTCTGCCACGTTTTCCCAGCAGACTGGAGGGTGAGGCGGTAACCAGAAACGCTGTGTGCAGTTGACTCCTTGTCCTGGGGAGTTTATCACAAAGGGGCTGTCGGCTGGGAGCAGGTGCAGCAGAGACGATCCAGAACCCAGCTCCCAGTCCTCAAAGTCTGCTTCCCCAGATTGTTGCTCCGAGGGGACCGTAGGAGCTGCTGAGTCTGCATCCTCAGGAGAGCAAAAACCCAGAAGGAGGCAGCAGGAGAAACGCAACCAGAACATCTCCAACGATCCTGAAACTAAGATGAAGATGTTGTCTAAAGGAAAGACAGAACAAACGACAAAGAGCTGAGGTTTGAGTTTTCCACAGGCCAGCAGGAACATGCATGAGTGAAGGATCATTTACTACCAACTGTTGCCATGCACCTTCAAAATAAAAGCCCCAAAGGTGTTGAGACAAACCAGACTTAAAGCAGTTTTTATCTAGGCTGATCTATTTACTCACTAAAGACTTCAAATTGAAAAGAAATCCAGCTAAAGCTCACCTGTTTCCTAAACACTTAAAACAATTCCAGTTACAGGAATCAGCGTTGGTGTTCAGAAATGATCTTACCTTTTAGAAAGGCGGCAGAGCAGTGTGTGTGTGTGTGTGAGTGTGTGTGTGTAAAAGAGCTCATCTGGAGCCTGGAGCTGTTGGAAAGAATGAGTCGTGTGCAGCCTGTAACATGCAGTCTAAATGGTTTTCCACTGGCTCAGTTACAGCAGAACCAGGAGCCAAAGTCTGAGGAGGGAATGATGTAAAACTCACCTCAAATGAGCCGATGAGCCTCTTGTTTACCAGTTTTGCAAATATTTATTTCCCTGAGGCGAGTCTTTTCTGCAAAACCTAATTGTGTCGATAAGTTTAACGCTTGAAGTGGAACAGATCTTTCTGATTTCTTTCTGCTTCTGATTTCCTCCACCTGGACAGATGAGTAGGAGGTTAGCCTGTTTTACGATTTCCGAAACGGAAACAGACTCTGGACCGCTTTCAAATTCTCAATTTTCAACTTTATCTGTTAAAATGAACCGTTTTTCATCCATGTCACAGAAGAAAGGGTAAAGAAAAGCTAAGCAACTTCTTATTTATCTAGTTTTGAGCTGAGCAGGAAGTGAATTCATCTCGTCCAACGTGTAAACTCTGACACAAGCAACAAAGGAATGGGACGGATTTTGGCAAAAACAAGCAACATGTGTTGTAGTTGTTGGGGAGGAACACGTGGCAGAAACCTTCAAGTCCGCATTGAAATCTGGAAGCGATTTTATCCACAACACTAATAAAACTGGTGCAAATCATCCAGTTAGTAGAGACAAAATGACATATAAATATAGGATATTACAGACATGTGATATGGCAATAAAATAATCTTGACACTGAGTTGTAAAGATTCTTTAACTGCCATATAATATGTATGTAATATCATACATTTATGCTTCAACATAAACCACAAAGACAGCATGACTAGACTGAGGACTAACAACTACCCCTCCTTTCCACCGGAGCCGTCAGCAGCACGTTACTCGCGTATGCTGCTGCTTGGCCCTTCCCACGAGACGCGAAGCAGCAGGAGAGCGGCTGTCACCGACAGAGCACGAAGTCACGTGACATTAGCAAAATCACGCGTATTTTAGATAGCATAACTGACAGAGGTCCATACAGAAAAGAAATCACGTTAATAACTAGCATGAACTCACCGTCTTGCCCCAAAACCGCAGATACGTCACTCCATGCGTTATCCTTCGTCATTATAAAAACTGTGACTGGGATCAAACCGGATTGGGTACTTCTCCACTTTAGTAATCCACCTTTCGTCGTCCATTATGGAAAAACAAAGGAGACCGCTAGCTAGGTGATAACTTTTTTTTTAAAGTAAAGCAACCGGAAGGCAGTACGTTTCTTTATTCTGAAAATCTCGGGAAGCTTCGCTCCATTTCCGCGTCCGATTTCCTGTCTTTCCTTTCCCAATAATGTCGAACTTGACCCATTTCAGGGGCGTAGCGCGGAGAAAATAGAACCAGCGCGTAAGGGCCGCGACATGCTGCTCCTGAGACTCGGCCGACTCGCGCTGCTGACGGCTCCGGTGGAAAAGGTTCTGTTGACCACGGCGGTTCCTGTCAGCAGCTGTGACGTGCTGCTGCAGTAACGTGCTGCTGACGGCTCCGTCACAGCTCCGGTGTAAAGGAGGGGTTAAGGCAGTAGTCATTAAGGGCCAAAGGAGCATGACTCCTGCAGGAATCAGTTTGGCCCCGCCCCCTGAAGTGCCCCTGTCCTGAGACCCATCTATCCTGATGATCAGATCATAGGTGGATCCAGTTTCAAGTCCAAACACTAGTGGCACTAATGAGACAAAAAGGACTTTCCTGCATGAAAGCTTGTGTAAAGCCCGGACAACACTGCATTATTTTGGGCCATCCTAGACACATCTCTTGTCGTGAAGAGAATTGTGACTAAAAACCACGAACATGAGGGTGATTCTCAAGTCTGTGGCTGTCCAGTGTCGACCAGATCAGCGACAGCTTAAGGAGCACCCTAACGACCAAAGTCAGCCTCCAACAGTCTCCGCTTCAGGTCATAAGGCTTAAGGAAGTTGGACTAACTCTTGGCCTCACTATAATTAGTGAGGCCCCTTGATGGCCCCATACTCCAAAAAATTCTAGATCCGCCCCTGCTAGTATGAAATTTGGACTGGGACCGTCTTCCTGATGATAGAATCTAACACTGAGTGTTGTCAGAGCCTGCTTTAGCATTTTAAAAGAGTTGAATAACTAAGGGAAAAAGCTGAATTTACCCCTTCCAGTTGATCCATGAGGGAAATCAACAAGAATATTTTTTGCACAAGCCAAGCAGCTGCAGATGACGTAAACCTCAACTGTGAGATTTAAGGCCGAGGACCAAAGGTCAGCATATTCACATCCTTATTTTTACTTCTCTGTTATTTTGTTTTAATCAGTTTTATTTGAGTTTGTGAGACACTGAATGACTCGAGTTTCTCTTCCTGGTTTGGAAACTTGAAAAGTTCTTATTGGATCTTCTTGTTCTGCCCTTTTAGCTTTTCTGTAAACACTGCAGCTGAGTTTCTCACAAATCTGAAACTTCTAGGAAACATAAAATGAGCTGTGAACATTTTTAGATGGTTCCACTTTTTCACACTGATGTAATATTTTAAACAGCCTGTGATTTTTTGTGTTCATGAAAAATTTAAAACATTTTTATAAAAAATATATAATTTTTTATCTGTTTGATGTGACAATTAGAATTTGTTTATTTTATGCATTTATGACATTTAAATCTACTTTCTTTTATCAATTATTGTGATTTTTGTTTTCTATTGTACTGCAAAAGTATTTCTTTTATTTGATTTTTAAAATATATATTGCACATGATAATTTAATTGTCCTCATTCATTGAAAGAACGAAAAAGAAAACAATCTTTTCTATAGAGCCTCTCAAGATAAAAATCACGAGACAATTCAAAAGATCCTTGGTAGTCAGTTTATTGTCAATTGTGGCTGGTGTGAGGCAGTTGGCTTTATTCATCTTAGACCTGTTTTCATGACAAGAAATTATTGTTTTTGAAAATTTTATAGTTAAAATGTAAAAAACCAAAATCATTAAAAAATATATTAATCTCTAGTCGTGTTTTGAAGTTCAACTAGATCCAAGTAATTATGTGGGTGTTAAAAAAATAAAAATGTTCTGACATCTAAACTAAAATTAAATAAAAATGTATTAAACTGAAGATATTTCAGAAAACGAAGATAAAAAAAACATGTTCGGTTTTTTTGTAACCAGAATACGATTTACTATTATTACATGTTTGTAAAAAATAATTCCTAAGATACTGTATATTTTTAGAAAAACCTGATTTGGCAACTTCATTAGTACAACACTGACACCTGGTGGTTATAAGTGGAATCTGCTTCTTTTAAGTGATTGAGTGAAAGAAAATGCATAAAGGTATATTCTGGTTTGGAATGAAATTTTTTTTAAATGTTATAAATATATGATTTAAATTATGTTAACACTGAGCAAATTTCAGTTTTCTGTCAGTTTTCAAACCGAGGTCCCACTCTGCGCATGCTCAATGCTTGTCGGAGGGGTTCGGCTATGTAGAAGCCCCGCCTCCTCCGGGCTGCCGTCGTCACAGCTGCTGCTGGAACCCGAGCGCAACTCTCAGCATCGACGACCGCCAGCAGCTGGCCACTCTCTCTCTCTCCCCTCTCTCTCTGCGTGCTGCGGGACGGCTCGGTGCCGCCAGGAGCTCCGGTGAAGCGACATGGCCTCCGACGGCATGGACGAGCGGTCTCCGCTGCTGTCGGGCCCCAACTCCGAGAATGTCACCCCCACTGCTCCCCCGTACCTGCAGGACTCGAGTCCCCGAGGTAAACAGACACTCGCGCGCGTGCGACACGAGCCTTGCTGCGTGCTGAATCATTTTCAGGGCGGATCAGGCTTGTGCAAGCGCGTAAATAAACCCCAACGAGGGCAATCCAACGGCAGCTGACGGAAAGGTGGAGCTCCGGGGGTGAGAACTGGATCAGTGGGTTAGAGAAGAGGGGCCTGCAACAACAGAACCGGGCCCAGGGCTGGGACTGATGTTTGTGCAGGAGAAAAAGATGTGAAGAAACCGTGTTTACAATGTTGATGCAGCCACTGCAGATGTAGCCAGGCCAGCAGCCTTTTGTCCCAGATGTGCCTCAGAAATGGATGTTGACGTGTCTGCATTGCGAATAACAAATATCTGTTCAGTGTTTTGAGTATAAATAACAAGATCAAGCCTGCAGTAAACCATCCAGCCAGACTCAAGGAGAAATACAAAAAAAAAAAAAAAAATCTGAACACACGTGCACATTCTGTTCTGCTTCATTAGCAATAAGACTCACCCCCAGGCCTTAAGTTTAACCCGAGAAAACCTCCCAACGTCCAGATCAGGGAAAGAGGAAAATGTCCCCTTGTATCAGTGAATTGATTAATGGTACAGTATTCTTGCAAATGTCATAAGTAACCATTAGATTAATTGTAAAGACTTAATAAAGTGGATAAAAGTCTGAATTTTTCACCATCCACCATCTCTTTTTACGGGATTATCAGCTTATTCTTCTATAAGTTTCTAAAACGGATAAATTTTGTGTAACCTGTGATGATTTATTCAGAAAAGGGCCGTGTTTTTCAGCAACTGGTGAATTGTTTTTCTGAAAATATCCAAAACAAAGTTATAGAAAATATTAAAACAAGCTGAGGCTTTGTTTTGCTTCCTGTTTGCCTGCAGTGGTTTTTGGGGAAGGGTGGAAACCAGAGATCTCCGCTGCATCTGGAAGAACCCGACAGATTGCTTGATTTATTTTTAATAACTTTGCAGTTAAGCGGCGGAACAGGTCCGATGTAACGGAAATCACTTTTTAAAAGACATTTTATGACTTTAAACTTATGAATGACTGAGCTTTCTTTAACAGACATTTTATTTGTAAGCTGAATGCATTGTTTGAGGCGAAAAGCTGAAAAGAGCTGCAGATAATCAGCTTTGCTAATTTTAGCTTCTAACAACCCAGTAATTTGTGTGAACAACTGCATGAGGAAATTCATGTTCAAATGAACAGCTATTAAAGCAGAAACCCAGGGTTTTTTACTGAGAGGACACCACCTAGAGGTGGAAAAATGTACTGCACATTTAAGCCCCTCCCCCTGCTTTTGTGATACTGCTGTAAGCAACGTCTCTCATTCCTCTAGCCAGGAAACAGCTAAAACACATTTTCACACAATTAGTATTCTCAGATTGTGCTTTTTATTTATATATTACATTTTAAAGACTTACTTGTTCATTAGAAATGGCACCACCTTTGCATCAGTTCGACATCTGAGTACAGAGATATTTCCACCGGTGAAAAACAGGTCCACGGCAAATTCGTTGCTGGTCTTTGAAGCTCTTTTTGGCTAGTTTTGTTCAGTTTCCTAGCATAGTGAAACAACAAAGACCAAAACAACTTCTCCCGCTCACCGAACTCCCCATCATAATGAAACGTCAACTCCTAACATTCACTCTTGTAACCAAATACAATACGTTTGAGGTATTTTGGCCACTGCAGCTCTCCGTACCCGTTTCCTATTTACATGGGGGATTGGTTTAGTATGTCTCTCTACACAAGCAGGATAAACAGAACTCACTGCAAAAAGGCTAGCTGAAACACTAACAATCGTTCTCAAATAATAAAAAAAATCACGAAGCCAAATGCAAAGTTTAGGGCAGAACTTTGACCCAGAGGTTCACTAATTGAGCAGATGCACGAGAATAAATGTAATTACCGCTTAGAGATAGAGCAAGCTAGTGGCTAGCGGTAGCTGCATCCGCTATCTCTAGAATGTTACTGAGTCATCTTGTTTCTTGTCTGAAATGAGATAGGTATTTTAAAAATATTGAGATATCGCCCAGCTCTACAGTATTTTTTTGTGGATGTAGCTGCTCCATGATTCATCGTGTCTTTGTAAATAGTTCCGCAACCTCTCACAAAAGCTTTGTTATTAACATCTGTTGGCTAATGCCGAGCAGCGAGCAAGTAAAATAACAAGGGTCTCTATGGGACAGGGGCGGGCTTAGCATAAAATAAAATTCTGTGTTGCATACTTTTTTACAGATTTTTTTAAGATCGTGCGTAATTCATGAAAAGAGGAAAACTTTTGGTAACTGCATTCAAATAAAGTTTTTCTAAAGATGGTAGCAATCAACTGAGTGGCCGTTTGCTCGTCAAGCTAATCTCTTTTTCTCCAAACTGAGGTTGTTAAAATAAACTTTCTACAGCTGTTCAGTTGTTTGTGACATTTCCCACAGAAACAGGCTTAAAAATACAAATGGCATTTTTAATTTAAGCTTTAAATTTTGACATTTTACCAAGAATGTTACCGAGATTTGACTCGCTGCCCCCTAGTGGTCGGTTACAGAACTTCTGTTTTAACTTTTTCAGACCTGGAGGTTGAAATTTTGTGCTGCAGAACTAAGATTTGAACTGAGTTTAAAACACAACTGCTTATTCAAAGAACACAAGGATTGTGGGTAATGTAGTTTATTTAGATAAACCTCAGGTCATTGTTTATGTTTAGGATGTGCCAAAAGACGTCATGACGTCAGGTGTGACATCTGATTGCTTACTGAGGAATTTTCAAGGATGCAGAAAACTTCATCATTCAGTCTAATTTTCTGATTTTGTTAAAGTTTACTGGAGAATTGACATTTAGCACCTTAAATGCTGCGTAAAGAACCAAGACGAAGCATAGAAATCTGGTTTCCTATCAAAACACTTTAATTGGAAAATGCAAAAAATGTTTTAATCATGGCACGTCAAAGAAAATGATAGTGTTAGCATGAAGAGCACATTTTTGCCTCTAATTTAAGTCATTATAATAAAGGATGTATTATTTTTCCAGTGACGATTGAATCTTTTTTGTTGTCTGATGCTCATCGGGTGTCCTGTTACCAGGAGCTGTTCTGGTTTTCAGACCACAACCATCGAGCCTGAGGCTTAGGTTGGATGTTGTTATAGATGAGCATCTTGTCATCTTACCTCAGTGGACACAGAAGGAAAATCTTTACTCATATTCTCTTTCAGACATCATCAGGAGACGTCAAAGCCCGAAGCTAAAAGTAGAAACGAGTCTCGGATAACTTCTTTTATTTAAAAAAATGTAAACGTAGAGGTGTCATTAATGGCCTCTCTCCCTTTTGTCTTCTTGTAGCTGAGCTACCTCCTCCCTACACCGCCATCGCCAGCCCCGATGCAAGCGGCGTCCCTGTCATCAACTGCCGCGTCTGCCAGTCGATCATCAACCTGGATGGGAAGCTGCACCAGCATGTGGTCAAGTGCACAGTCTGCAACGAGGCTACAGTGAGTAGAAACTAGCGGTGCACGTTAGGGATGTCCCGTTCCGATATTGGTATCGGATATCGGCCCAATATCGGATTATATCGGACTGCATCAAAAATCTCCAATATAAGCAGTCCGTTCTGCATTAAGTTTCATTGCAGCAACTCTATCCAGCAGCGCCCAGATCCAGTGTGCAAAGTCCACGTGATCAGAACAGTGTTTGCTAGCAAGGAGCGATGTCGGCCATGCGGCAGTATTTTTGTTAAAAGTCCAAAAAGACGGTTTGGCTCGGTGCAACACTTGTCATGCACAAGCATCTAAAGATTGAACAGAACCGAGGAAGTTTTTTACGTCCACCCTCAATGTGCATTTGAAGCGGGATCACAAAACATTACATGAGGATTTTCGCAGTGTGTGAAATTGAATCTTTAGACCAGGGGTATGTAATTCTGGGACTGGAGGTCTGGTTTCCAGCACATTTTAGTGGTTTCTCTGTTTCAACACACCTGTGCAGCAGCTCATCAGGCTCTGCAGAAGCCTGTTAATCACCTGCTGATTAAAATCATGTGTGTTGAAGCAGTTAAAACTAAAGCGTGCTGGATACCGGACCTCCAGGCCCAGAATTGAATACCCCTGCTTTAGACACAACTTGTAGCAGTTGGTCAGTGAACAATATTGTGTTTTTTTCCTTATGTCTCTTCCCTCAGCTGTTCACATTTATGCAACCAAAGGTTATTAAAAAGTCACTTGATCAAGCCTTTTCTACATTCCACACTACGAAATAGGTGAAAGTATGTATGATTTGTGCTGATATCATATCGGATTGATATCGGTATTGGTCAATAGTGAAGGCTGCAATATCGGTATCGTATCGGAAGTGGAAAAAGTTGTATTGGGACATCCCTAATGCACGTACTGGAAAAAATTCACATTGTGATTTTTTTTTGGGCGTAGTTTAAAATAAACATGAATTTTCAACAGATGAGTTAAATAGCAGCACTTTAAGTTGGCGTTTATGTGCCACGGGCGGTAGATTCATTCTTCTGGGTGAAACGGGTGTTTTTTTTCCAGCAGGACATAATCATAACTGGAGATGTTCCCATTTGATAACATGGCTGGAAATCAAGCTCAGTCACGTGATTTAACCTTATAAAACAACTAGCTTGACCTTTTAAATTCATCCTGAGGTGGAGATTTTCAAACTTAATAACAATGGCCTAGTTTTAAATGTCAACAAGTTCCTCTCCATCATTAGTCCTTATTTCTTGGAGGACGCCAACGTCACAAAATGTGAGGCAGGCGGGGGTTCCGTGTTAGCTAGCAGGCTAGCATAGAGCTAACACGTTGCCTCATTTGAGCGGAAATGTTTGCAGTTTAGCCATATTTTATACTCGACTCTAGTGCAACAGCCGCTTGTAATGTGTGCAAACTGGGCATTTAACATGGCGGAAAGGCAAAGCCACCTTCTTATTTCTCTTTCGGCTTCTCCATTCAGGGGTTGCCAGAGCAAATCACCCGTCTCCATTAAGTCCTAGTCCATCACTAATACTCTCAGTTCACTGCGTCAACTCAGACAAAAACGTGGAACCATCCGACTCTGAAAGATACGTTAATAATAGGGATGCACCGATACCGATACTGGTATCGGTGCAGATACTGATACGATACTGGTATCGGTAAAAGTTAACCGATACCAGGAACCGATACCAATGCAGTTGCTTGAAAATGGCTTCACAATAACTTGTCATTTCTGTTCACCTAATATTTTAGTTTTGTGATGATTTTTATTCATATATTTAACTTTTTATCTACCTCAGTCTTTTCCTGTTGAAAACAGAGAAGAAAATACAATCTGTATTCCAAATCATTGCATTTTTTTTGTGTGGTAGAGGTATAGGTATTGGTAATCGGTATCGGCGAGTATTCAGATCCAAGTATCGGTATCGTATTGGTTTGGAAAATGTGGTATCGTTGCATCCCTAGTTAATAAACAAAGAAAATGTGCCTACGGGCAACAAAACATTGATTTTTACAGTCTCCTGGAACAGTGGTGTTTGACAGGTGGTGGAAGTCCTTTGTTCTTTTGAACTCTTTTTTTCCTGTTGTTCCATCATTTGTCCTTTAATTTGTTCCTCCATTTTTTCATCAAGATTGTAATTCCTTTTTAAGTCCAGGTGTCTTCTTTCCAGTTCGTTATCCACTTGCTTCTGTTTGGTTGCAACGTTTCTTATCCTTTCTTTGAGTAGTGCCTTCTGTGTTCTTTCCATTATGTTCTGTGCTGTTTCGGTCCGGATCGGTGTTTTCAGCTGTAGGCTTGTTGGCGTGATGTTTTCGTCCCGGCATCTTAAATTGAAACGAAGGCGGTTCCTAAGACGTGCACGTTGTTGATGTAAACGTTCCAAACGGCGGAACGAGTTACAGGTGTTATCGACATTTTTGACTCTTA